ACACAGCATGTATTTATTTCTTTAGGTGAGCAGATATTAGGACCAGAATGCTTATTTCAAATTTTGGCTTTGCTGCTTATGAGTCTGGGCAAGTTTTTTTTTTTTTTTTGGTACCGGAGATCAAACTCAGGACCTTGTGCTTGCGAGGCGGCTGGCACTGGAACCACTGACCTAAATCCCCGGCCCAGGCAAGTTTTTTAACTTCTTTAATTTTCAGCCTACTCAACAAAAAAATGGAAATAATAATATTTTACTCAGTAGAGGTTTGTGAGAAATAAATGAGCTTTCTCCAATAAAACGCCAGATACATAATATGTGTTTGGTTTGTGTTAGCTATGGTCACCATCTTCCTCATGGTTGTATACTCAACAGTGATGCTCCTTCTCCTAGAATAAAAGCTGCTTGAGACCAGGGAGTTTGTTTATTCACTGCTACATCACAGCACCAAGAAGACTGTTGTGGGTTCTTAAGTGTTTGCTGAGGAATAAATCCTTCCAACAACCTGGGAAGTAGCTGTTTTTACCTGCTTATTATAGGTAAAGGATTGTAGGCTCAAAAATGCTGAACATCTCAAGTCTTTTGACTCTCAGTTCCTGTGAAGTTAAGATCATTCATTCATTCATTCGTTCCCAGTATGGTGATTAAACCCAGGGTTTTTGAGTTGAGCTATATCCCCAGCCTCCCCCACCCCCCCCTTTTTTTTTCTTTTGAGACAGTCTTGCTAAGTTGTCCAGGTTAGGCTTGAACTTGAGATCCTTTTGCCTCAGCCTCCCAGAGTCCTGGGATGTGCATTATTTTCCCCCGCATTAAGATTGTTCTCTTGGATATATTGGTAGAAGTGGAGGTAAGAAATGTGTCACTTTCTCATAAAATGGACTGTCTGGAAAAGTGAAATCATTTTGGGGGCCAGTAATTTTCTTGAAAAGTAATTGTCCAATCGACATTGTAACTTAAACTGAAAAATAAATCTGAGTAGAGAAATCCTAAGGCTAAAAGAAACACAATAAGTTTGATTCTTAGCAAGAAAGATTTTTTGTTTATGTTTGTCCATAAGATCATATAGTGGTACATGCCTGTAGTCCCACCTACTGGGAAGGCTGAGGCAAGAGAATCACTTGAGCCTGGGAGTTCAAGGCCAGCCTGGGCAACATAGTAATACCATATCTTGGGAGGGGAAGGAGAAATCATAGAATTTGCTCGTAAATTTTTAAGAAGTTGACAAGTCTCCAGAAGAAGTATGAAGAGAGATCTTTATACAGACTACTGCAATAAAAATAGTATTGACAACATACTGTCATAGAAGATACATATAGAAGGGTGGGTACCATGGTGGAGAGACACCTAATTCTACCTATGGGAAGAAGATAATAAAGAAATCTCATGGAGCCATTAGTATTTGAATTAAGTCTTAAGGAATACATCCTGGCTCACCCAGAGGTATAGAAAGATGTTCAGAGTCTCAGATAAATGATGGACAAGAGTTTAATAAGACTTGAATATATAACACATGAAAGGGAGCAGAAGCAAAGTTAGAATGGTAGGAAAATTACAAATGTGGAAGCACTTTATAGAAAACCAGGCAAGATACAATAAATACCTATGAGAAGGAGGAACAACCAAGAGATTATATAAAGGTGCAAATTTCCAATGATGAATGTCATTGTCTAAAATGTACCAATAAAAGGATATTTAAAAAAAGGATGAACAGAACGTAAGTGTACTGGGAGAATTTAATTAAGTTTTGCTTGGGTGGGCATCAGTGAAGGCCTACTTGAACTGTAGTTTGAAGGAGGACTTTGATGTTACTCTATGAAAAAGATGTGCAAGGTGCTGGTTCAGACTGATGGAACAAAATGAATAAATATATGGAGTTTTGAGTATATGATCTCTTTGGGAAATAAGGCTTAGACTGTGAGAAGTTGATATGAGGTCATAGTGGAGAATTCTGAGTTGGGAACAGATCATGGAGACCACTTTGTCAATTTATTGGATTTTATTCTGTAGGCACTTTAGGGAAACAGGAGAACTTAATCAAAATAACTTTGACATAGTGTGTAAAATGTATTTAAGATAGTGGAAGAGGAAAGAGACATTTCTAATTTGAGTCATAGGGTCAAAATGTTTCTTGCCTGATTGGTTGTTGCGTAGTACTTGGGACTGAACCTAGGGACTTGCACATGTTAGGCAAGCACTCTGCAACTGAGCTAAATACCTAGCCCTTTTTAATTCATTTTGATTCAGGGTCTTGCTAAGTTGCAAGACTAGGCTCAAACTTGTGATCCTCCTGCCTCAGCTTCTGGAGTAGCTGAGGTTACAGGCATGCACACTGTGCATGGCTTTGCCTAATTTTCTTATTTAAAGGGAATAGAGAGAATGAGCTATATGGATGTGGAAGAGATATGTCCTCATTCCACTCACTCACTTTTGTGGAACTGCACTGTTTGGAGGATTCCTAGTCCTGAGTTCATTCATCTGTCAAGACAGGTGACCCCCTTAGTCATCAGAATAGCTTGAAAATATTTGGAACTCATGAGTTAGTTTCTTGCTTTCTCCCTTCTACTTAAATATTAAATCAGTGGGTCATTAAAAGAGAGGGGAAATCTGGGAGTGGTGGCACACATCTGATGTAATCTTAGTATTGTACTTAGGAGCCTGAAGCAGGAGAATCAAGGCCAACTTATACTGAAAAACAAGTCCTGTCTCAACCCTTCCTCTAAATGAATTAATGAAGGAAGGAAGGAGGGAGAGAGGGAAGAAGGGAAGGGGGAGAAGATGAAGGGGAGCTGATGGACCCAAGTAGATAGACTGGATTTCAATTCTTATTGGTCTTTGAGGATTTCACATAGTGGCAGAGGCTTCCATTCACCAAGAAAGCATTATGAATGATGAAGATTTTAAGAGCATGTTCAGATTCTTGATTACAACTAATCCCTATCTGGTACACTGCTATAAGACATAACTTCAACAGAATAAGCTGCCAAGGAAAATTTCAGATGGTTACAGGCAAAACTTAAAGCACCAAGTGACAAGAGGAAGTAAAAGCCAGGCATGGTGATGCATGTCTGTAATCCTAGCTACTCAGGAGGCTGAGGCAGGAAGATTGAAAGTTCTAGACTAGCCTGGGCAACTTAGGGTGACTCTGTCTCAAAACTATAAAAATGGTTAGGTGTATAGCTCAGCATTCCCTGGGTTCAATCCCTAGTACCATCAAAAATATAAAATAAAATTAAAATTAAAAAAATAAGTAGAAGAGGTGGAAGTAAAGCAATGGAGACCATATGGTTCATCTTCCCAGCACGAGTCATGAAGAGCACTTTTTACCATCTAGCACTATTTCGTTTGCTGCTGTCATTCCTGTCAGGGGCCACTTGTTTGGACAGATTCTAGAGACTTTTGTTGGAGGAAATTTCATCTAGGGTGGATTGGGTGAAACTTACTCTTGACCAGTGGGCTAATAGATTTTTGTTTCATTCATCTCTTTGTTTCTTGTGTAGAGCAGCCACAGAGAAGTTAATGTTAAATGTGCAGGCAGATTGAGGAGTTAGCACACTTAAACTGGGACTGTTCTAGTCTGTTTGCTTTTGTTTCCTGTACTTTTGGAGTCTTGTCCCATGCTGCTGGTTTCCAAATATAGTATATATCATCATTCCTATTCTAAGTTGTTACTGAGTATGGTGCATAAGACAGAAATAAGACAGGAGCACTTCATCATCATTTTCCCAGAAATCTCCCCTGAGATCTGGGTAGTGGGGCAAGAAGGACAGGCCATCATCCAGAGCCACTAGGATCCTCCAGCTGGTTACATGTGGGCAAGACCTGGTGGGGACAGAGCAAAGTGGACACATCTGTAAAAAAAACTCTAGAATTTATTCATCTAGCATAAGTACCCTCTGCTGATTGCTTATAAGGGGCTCATATACACCATTATAAGGAAACTCTCAAGAGCAATTTGAAAACAGACATAAGAAGAAGACTTCAAACATTGTAGAACCTTTTGCTGCACCTTTGCCCAGGCTAGAATCCAAACCTGTTGGAACTTGAGTGCTTTGGTTATCTCCATTTTCAAACTACACTTAAAGGCTTTCTCACAGTGGTGCCCCCATTATAGTTTTTGCCTAGTTTGAGTAGGAATGACAGGACTAGAAAAGAATCTTACGAATCTTAATATTTCTGCTCTCCATAGAGCAAGAAGCCTGTAGCCCAGCCATATATGGCACAGCGGGTAATGTAGTCTCTGATGAATAGAAAAAGAGTAATCTCTGGACTTTATTCAACTTCTGTTGAGTTTTTCTTGGGTCCTTCTGAAAGTGTCTGTTTCTTTTGAAAGTATGGCTCTGGGTTTGATAATCAGGCATGGTATTGCAGCCATGATTTTATCATCCACATTACTGTGACTTCTGTTAGGACAGTAGCCAGTTGATGCTACAGGGTCTCTACTTGTTCAGCGTCCTGGTCCTGGCCTTAACTCCAGGCCCTGCCTTGGCCTAACTTAATTTAGGGTTTGGGAACATAGGTAAGGGCTCACTGAGAAAATGCATAGCCAAGCCTGCATTGCAAAATGGAAAGGACCTTTGGGGTTTGAGGACTTATCCCAGATATAGAGTAAGTTCATATGGCTGCTGTGGAAGGAACTCACTCTGTGCTCAACAGGTTGGATAGTCTATTGGAGTGGTCCCTGGTAACAAACTTGGTCTTGTAGCCCTAGCAACCCCTACCCTGGGTGGAGTCCATTTTGGAAAGGGGGAAACAACAAGTGGAATCCCCAGGAAGATTTGTCCTCTGGTTTATGCTCATATTAAAAATCAGAGGCCATCAAATATGGATAATAAAGATTTTGGGAGCCAGTCACCTGGGATCTGTGTCCTGCTAGGGTATTCAGTGCCCCTCCCCCCAGTGTCCCTTGGGGTTAGCTGGCATTTGCTTTGTGTTCATTGCTATAGAACTGAATCTACTAACTTTTTTTTGCCCCCATTTTCTTTCTACTCTTTCTCTCCCTACAGAAGGAAAGCAAGAAGTCCACCAGGTTGTGCCTCTGGCCCTTTGGGCCCTTTCTATTATCTATTCTCTACACTGTCCTCTGAGCACTGTGTGTGTGCATACGCGTGCATGATCTGTATTTCTGAGCTGTGGCTCATGTAGATAGTCTGTTTTTCCAGAAAGAGGTTTGTGTGCATGTTCCATGCTGTGTATGCTCCTGCCAACACTGTGGCAGAACATATGTGTGCTGACATGGGCGCACAATCAATGTAGCATGTGTGTGCTTACACTTGTGCTTAATCTGACCCCCACAGACATGGATTGCCCTCTTTTTCTCCTAGTCTAAACAACGTGTGTCCATTTTTAACATGTTGCGACAAACTCTGGCCTATGCTGTAAACCCTGACTGAGCCCAGCATGTGTGCATACTTTCATTTGAGAGAGAGCAGGAGTTGCTACAGGTATTTTGTGCCTCTTACTTGGGGCCCTAAGTATGAAAGTGCTTTGTGTTTCTGGGCAGCCTTCCTGGACTCTCTGTGGACAGGAACTTTAGTAGACTTGTGTGATCCTCGCATACCTGCGAATGCATGGTTTCCTACTACTTTGTGCCTGTGAGCGCTGACTCTTGAATTTACTGAAAGTTTGCTTCACCTATGATTTGGGCCCTAGTGAGCACTGTGAGTCCTTCACAAGTGAGTTTGTGTACACATTCTGAATCTATACACACAGAATTCATGCTCACCTTGTGTATCCTTAAGGTACAAGTTGTATCAGTGAATATAACTATAAATGCTTTGTCTAGACTTCCTCCCACTTCCCTTTGGTGTGCTGTGTGTGCATGCTTTTTGCTTCTGCAGACTGTTGCCCCCTCTGAGCTTGATCCCTCATGCTTTGGGAGCCTGGTTCCCAAAGACTTCTTGTGATTTTGTTTTCTTAAATGCAGTAGTCTGATAAATACATAATTCTGGGAATTAAAAAGGAAATAAGAGCCTGCTCATTGCAGTAGCTGTTTCCAAAGGGAAGGTAAATTCTGGCTGGTAGAATCTGGAGATATGGAGAAGGACAACTCCCCTGATGCCCACCTCCTGACCTTGCCTCTGAGCAACCTTAGGAGACTTGCAGTTTCCAACCTACTGTTGTTTCTTCTATTACACCCATTGTCTTTTGTTTCAAACGCTCTTAGCTGGCTTTTGGGCCTGGCCTCCCATCACCAGGATAGGAGACAGAGGCAGAGTAAAGGTATGGGCAGTAAGCAGATAGGTTTGATTTAAAGCATAGACAATCCAAAAGTATCTTACTGAGAAGGAGCTCAAATCCAAAGTTCATATGAGCTTACTGCTGATCCAGGGTCATACTTGCTCACCTTTCTATCACCTATCAGCCCTGTCCTGTCTGTCTCCCCTTATTCTTTTCCGTCTTGCCTCATTCTATCCATAACTTCTCCCACCTTTAGCTATCCCCCCAACATCACTCCTCCCCAACCTGTCCAAAGCTGAGAACCTTACTTCTATCTCCCTTCTGGAGCTCATTTATTCCAGGAAAGTTGTTGAGGATGGAAGGAAACAGCAGGGATGGGATGCCCCAGTCCTGCTAGCACTAGGTTTCTTGTGCCTAAAAAGCATGTACCATTGATTCCCTAGAGAGTCGTGGCAGCTTTGGAACTCTCTCTTTGCACTGCTGAAGCCATTGTTTATTCTATTTTGCTTTCATTTTGTTTTGTTTTGTGCAGAAACCTTAAAAATTGTTTTTAACTGTTCCTTCTTTGTCTTATTTGGTACCTCAGTTTTCAACTTTGCATGCTACAGCCTATAAAATTCACCAGAATGATAAAACAAATGTCTAATCTGCCCTGGGATTTCATTATATCAAGCTTATCAAAAGTAGAGAATGGACTTTTACTTTTGTACAAAGTGTGTGAGCTGGGGTTTCACCCAGGCTATGTTGAATCACAGGCTGAGATGTAATTCAGAAAGACTAGGTCTGCTTCTGAGGCAGCCAAAGGAGCTCAGGAATATAGCTAGAAGAAGACTTGACTCTGTGTGAAGTTACCTTTTTGCCTTAGTGAGGCCTTAAACCTACAAAAGCCCTTCTGGGCTTGGCTTACTGCTTTCTGTACTTGTAAAAGGGACATGGGAGTTCTGGCAGATGTCACACTTTCAGTGGATGCTTAGCCTTAGGACCTCAGTGAGCTTGACCGTATATCCTTTCTATTCAGTGGGGTAAATGGAGGCGAATGCTGCTCATTTCAGCAGCGCACTTGTTGCCTTGGATGATAGGGTGTTGGCATAGACATCAGACTGGCTATATCACTTCATGGTAAATGTGACCTACATTGCTCACTGCCCAGCCTGTGGACTGTCTTCCATCTTTCTCAACATCTAACTTTTTTCTGTCTCTTTTTAAAGATTCCAGATGATGGCAACCCCTGTCTGCCTCAGTGGCTCCCAGAAGGGTAAGTGCTTCCTAGAATCCAAAATCTATGGATTTTATGCTATTTCTGTGTTTAACTTTCCCCCTGGCAACAGGGAAGATAGGTCCATAAGCTGAATCCTGGGGAAGGAAGAGGTTCTGCTGTAGGTTGGTTGGTTCTCTGGGAATTTTTTAGAGGCAGAAAAGAGCTTTATAGAGTGGTTCTCCTGGGACAGCGAGAGAACTTTGGCACTCCCCCATCCTTCTCTCACAATTTCTGATCTGATCCATTGCATTATAGTGATATTGTACTTATGTAGAAGAATGAGGGCATTAGAAAAGGTACCTGTATTTGGAAATATTTCCTTCCCATTTCATTGTTTGATGGTATATCTGATGAGATTACTCCCTGGGTTCAGCCCTGCTTCAGCTGTTGTGAGTCACCAACTTATTCTGTTTCACTCTAGTCAAAACATAAGTAGCATCCCTTCTGAGCTCTGTGCTTCTTGTCTTGGAGTTTCAGACCCATGTGATTGCACCACACTCATTTTAAGCTGCTCAACTGCTGCCTGTAACTGACTGTTCTTGAGAGAGAATTTAAGTGTCTCCCCATGTCCTACTCCCCCACACACTACCAATTAGTTCTCTGACTTTCCTTCTTCCTTTGTCCTACAAAGACTTATAACACAAGAATTCCAGGGTGATGCATGCCTGTAATCATAGCACTCTGGAAGGCTGAGGCTGGAAGATCAGAAGTTTGAACACAGACTGGGCAATTTAGCAACTTAACAAGACCTTGTCTCAAAATAAATACATAAAGAGCTGGGTATGTAGCTAGGTATGAAGGCCTGGGGTTCAAACTCCAGTACAGAAAAAAAAGAAAGAAGGAAGGAGAGAGACAGACAGAGACAGAAAGAGAAAGAATTCCAGTAGCTGCTTTCTCTCACTCATGGCCCAGGGAAAAGATCAGACCATAAAGTTATCTACTGTGTGTGTTTGTGTGTGTGTGTGTGTGTGTGTGTGTGTGTGTGGTGTCTGTGTGTGTCTGTGTAATTGGGGACTAAACAGGAACTTTTGCGCACTGTGTAAGCACTCTACCACTGAGCTATGTTCCCCAGCCTGCTACCATATTTTTACATGCTCCTTATTTTGCTGTTGGTCATTAATCAAGGGTTAATCATGTGAATGAGCTATCCCTTCTTTTTCAGAAGATCATTTATGTTGCAAAAAACTTCCTGGCTTACATGGTACATATTGTAGTTTTTAGAATTGGCTACAAACTTGTGACATGTTTTTTTCTTCCAACAATTATAAAATATACACGTGCCACTGGAACATATCCAAACTATTTTTAAATGGAGTTATGCAGAAGTTTTCTAAATAATTCCCTTCTGTCTTCCTTACTTTCCTTCAGCTTAGTCCTTGGAACCTCTCACAAGTATAGAGCTTTCTTAGGCCTAGTAACCTCACTAATGACAAAGTCCATTACCTATACTCAGGGAGCTAGCTTATTAGAAATCAGCATATTGAGTTGACCATTGTAGCTCCTGGGATTGACCTAATTCGTGGCTCTATTCCTTGCCTATATTGCTGGGAGTACCTACTTATTCTTCTGGGACTTCTCTTCAGATCAGCTGTAGTATAAAACACTACTTCCTCAGCTTTTCCCACTTTGTTTCTCTCATTAAAACCAAGAACATGAGTTCTTTTCATTAAGGCTCAGAGTTTTGGCATCCAAAAGGCCAGAGAGATTTTCTACCTACCCACCTCATTTTATAGAAGTGTCACCAAGGCTCAAAGAGAGGAAGGAATGGGGCCGGGGATTTAGCTCTGTGGTTCTGGCACCTGCTTTGCAAGTGCAAAGCCCCAAGTTCGATCCCCAACACCAAAAAAAAAACAAAAAAGAGAGAGAGAAGAAGGAATGTTGGCAGAAGACATGAAGAAATTTAGTAATAGTGTAGCTTAAATGTAGGTTATCTTAGTGTAGTACTGATGTCCTTTGGGAAGACACCCTCTAATATTTTTTATTGCATATCATTATGGAAGAATAGCCAAACAACAACAAAACTAATAAGTATAGTAAAGGTATAAAAGTTTCAGAAATCTCCAGTTGCTTTAGCTATAATTTTTTTTGTGTGTTTTTTTTTTTTGGTACCAGGGATCGAACTCAGGACCTCGCGCTTGTGAGACAGGCGGCAGAACCACTGAGCTAAATCCACATCCCCTAGCTATAATTTTTTTCTGGTCTCTGTCGATTTGTCCACAGGGCAAGGCCAGACTCTCAGAGTCCTTTTGCTATTTTCTTTTTCCAGGTGGTCTCTCCCAATACCCACCCCAGCACACCTCCTCTGCCTCCACTCAATTGAAAGGGTTTCTCTCTCCTTGAAGACCCTTTTCTTCAGGAGGCTTGGACAGACAGAACTGGTGACTCATTTGTTCTTGGGTAGAGAAAGTCTCCTATATGTCATTGTCTGCTAGTCTTGCTCATCTAGGCAGCAGGCTGTTCCTGTGGAGCATTCCAGCAGGCTCTGTTTTGGCACAGGCCAGGCAAGTCTTATCTTTGGGAAGCAGTGTCTCATGCCTGTATGTGGACAGGAGCCCTGTTGACGACCAATTTCAACCTTGCTTTTGGCAGCACAGCACATTCAAGTAAACAGAAGTTCCTTGAACTGTCCTGGTAGGATAAAAGCTCTCAGTTCTCAGTTCACAGAAGACACTGAGGGGCACTCTGAGATCAGATTCTATTGCTCATCCCACAGCTTTACTTCTCTCCTTTGCTGTCTTCCTTAACCCTATCAAAGTCACATGGTAGAGGTTAGTTAATCTTTCTCTGGGGAGAGGGAGAGGAAGGAAAATGGAACATTGAACCTGCCAGTAACTCAAGGCAGGACTGAAGGTCCTGACATATTTTCTTCTCTTCTCAGGCCAGCTGGAGGACTCTATGGCATTGACAGCATGCCAGATCTACGCAGAAAGAAGCCATTGCCATTTGTCAGTGATCTGGTGAGTAAAGTCTCCTGTACAAACTTGGGCCATAGCTTGGGTGTATCCCCAGTGGGCCTTAGCAACCTGTTAGGATTGGAAGTGGTCCATTTACTGACTCATACTGTTCTGATGATCAGTTATTTAAAAACTTACTGATGGTTTCAGAGGGACCTTGTTCTACCTGTATAATCAGAGCCCTGGGTTCCTTAGTAGATCAGTCTCCTACCTGGAATACTTATAGCTGCCCCCTCAAAGTTGGGCCCCTGGGCCTTCCTCTAGATATCTCTGTTCTTCTGTGGTGATTTGGAATGGAACCTACCTCTAACCCTTGACCCAGATTGTTGAGCTTGGTGTAAAATGAACATAGCTGGAGCTTGATCCCTTCTTTTTTTTTTTTTTTTTTTTTTTTTGGTACCAGGGATCGAACTCTGGTCCTTGCGCTTGTGAGGCAGGCAGCAGAACCACTGAGCTAAATCCCCAGCCCCCCTTGATCCTTTCTTAAAGATCAAGTCAAACTGTCCTCCTAAGAGAGGCAATGATTAAACATTTATGGAATTGAACTGCAACAGACTTAGGAGTTTAAGTGATCTCAGGACCTGCAGGATGATCAGAAGGTCCCATTCTAGCCCACACCTTCTGAAGCAGGATCAGCTAAAGGAATTCTCTAGAGCCTATGGGTTATGGGGATAGAATGGAACCTAGGCTCTTCCAGAATCCCAGAGCTCTAAAGCAAGATGTAAGCTATAAGAGTTTAGTAAGACCTGAATCCTTTTTCTTAGTACCATTTTCAGTTCTTGTTGCTTCTTTTCTCTCCCTATTCTGTTCTGTTTTTCTTACCTAAGCCTTTTCTCTCTTCTCCATTCTCTTTCTCCCACTAGCTTTCCCCTCCTCATTTGGCTGAATGGAATTGTCTACCATTTTCTCTTCATTATCTTTCTTTCCTACCATTTATGTATTTTTCTTTTTCCTGCCTTTTTTTTTTCTTTTAATGGGGCTGGGGATCAAACCCAGGGCGTTGGACATGCTAGACGAGCATTATACCCTTGAGTCCATCCTTAGCTCTCATTTTCCTCCTTTTCAGTGTACCACTTCTTCTAGCAGCTCATCATCTAGCTGGTTGAAGGATAAACTGTTGTCATCTCTTCTTTATCACCATCCTTCTTTCTTTATTATTGCCTATCACACCTTTTTCTTTTTCCTTTCCTTTCTTTTCTTCTTTTTTCCTCATCCTCTCTTCCCTCTTTACCCACCAGTAATTTTCTAGTTTACACCTCTGTTTTCCTGTTCTATTTTTACCTTGCCTGTCTTTCACTTTGTGGTGTAACTCTCAGAGTAGGAGCTTTAAGCTCTGGGTCCTGGCCTGCTGTCTGGTTGAAGACAGTTTTTAGTGGGTAGAGCCAGAGGGATTTGAGACATGTTCCCTACACTTTGTATGATAGAGAAGAACCTCTCTGTTGCCTCTGAAAATTTTCATCCCATTGAGGGGCTTTAATATCATGTTGTTCCTTTCTCTGCTCTCGTCTGCACAGGCTATGGTGAGTGTCTCCAGAGCCCCTTCCCATCCTCTAAGAGTCCATATCCGAAATCACTTGGGCCCTTCCCAGCTGATCCTCCTGCATAGGTTGATATTATGACTTCAATTCATCCAAGGGCTGCCTCTAAATTGACATGTATCTTGACAGATACATGGGGCTACAAGAGCCTAGCTAGCAGGTCAGCCCCAGATCTCAGATTTAACTCCCTGTCTCACTTGATTTCACTGAGATTACCTTGTCCTTTTCACTTTCCAAGTCCCCTGCTCATATGGGCTGTTGGCCTCCATAGCTTTCCCGGGATTGGGCATGGGGAGGGACCAGGGAATAGTAATTAGCATGGAATCATTGTTCCCAGTGATGGTTCTTCAGTGTAACTCTAAAAGAGTTGTGTGTCTCTCTTATTCTTATGACTTGTTTCCTACTGTAATAGGAATTTTCCTTTCCCTTCCTACAAATAAGGAGTTTCTGTGAGGTAGGACACCTAAGAATAGTGAGGGAAAGAGAAGCCCTGTGGATGGCAGAAACCTTCAAGGAAATACCTTTGATTTTGTATCTTAACCTGGAACACTTGTTACCTTCTGCCCAGGGGTAGTTCTTGTAAGTAACAATAAAAATAGAATAAATTCCAGCCAAGTGGCTTTGGTCACTGAAGTTTCATCCCAGGATCTTGCCAGTCCTTGGTGGTGGCCAGGACTGACAGCAAGTCTTCTCTCATAGTCACTGGTCCAGTCCCGGAAGGCAGGGATTACTTCTGCAATGGCTACACGTACTTCTTTCAAGGATGAAGAGCTGGTAAGTGACCCAGGGGCTTTCCTGAGTCCACTAGCCTTAGGACTGTGATCATCTCTGTAGCCACGCTAACTGGGAATTCAGAGTATTAGGCACATATCATTGATGAAACTACATAGCATCAGATCTCAGTTTTCTACAGGGGGAAAGGCAAGAGTCCAGACTTGAGCCTCATTCATGTTAAAGGATGTGACCATTGTACCCTGTATACCCACACTTTCCATAGAAAGTGTGAATGCTGGGACAAGACTCAGAACTAATGTTAGGTCAGACCTGTGTTGGACAACTCAGGGCACACTGTAGTGGGGACTTCTTTCCACTAGACTGGGCTGAGTGAGGCTAGATTTTCTTCTTCCCTGCCAAGGGAAAAAACAGAACCCTGACTGTCGCATAGGGTCTCTATTGTGGAACCTCTCAGCAGCCCTAAAGTCATTGGTGGGTTATGGGATATGTGTCTTTCAGAAATCTCATGTTTATAAGAAAACCCTTCAGGCCTTAATCTACCCCATCTCGTGTACCACACCCCACAACTTTGAAGTCTGGACAGCTACTACCCCAACCTACTGCTATGAGTGTGAAGGCTTGCTGTGGGGCATTGCCCGACAGGGCATGCGCTGCAGTGAGTGTGGAGTCAAGTGCCATGAGAAGTGCCAGGACCTGCTCAACGCCGACTGCCTGCAGCGTGAGTGGCTGTGTGGGATGAGGGCTGGGGATCAGGGGCAGCAGGGCCTCTCCAAAATAATCTGCAGTGAAGAGTGAGGATGGCTTAACCATCATTCCTCCAGTCTACCTGATTCTGAAGCTCTTTTTCAGAGAAGCTAGAGTATTGAATCAAGGGATGTTGCCTTTCCAAATAGCAAGTCTTTTAGTAGCTTCTTAAGCACCTTTAGGAAAAATTATTTGAAAAAAATTATTTGAGCTTTCTGTAGCCTTCTGGTAGAGCTAGAACCTCTTTCAATGTTTACTTGATCCAAGAGGCTAAGCTTGAGCAGCATGACACAATAGTAGCTTATTGTCCAAATGACTAGAGCATGTTTAATCAGGGACTGAAACAAATGAAGAGAGAGACAGAGAGTTCTGTGAGGTTCCAGGCCTCACAGAGAAGCTTTCTGAGGTCTAAGACCCTCAGACCAGGAAAGACAGCAAGTGTTCCTTGGCTTATTTGTAGATGGAGCTTTTAGACAGTGGTGCCAGGAATAGAAGTTTTAAGTTGATGGAGCAATGATTTCAGGAGGAAAGTGTGCTAGACTCCCCACACCTGTCTACATATGTGGCTCCACTTGATGGAGTGGAGAGCATGGGACTAGGAAAAGCACCAAGCTCCTGGCAGGGCATGTGATGTGCTCAGATTTCCTATCACCTGCTCTCTTCCAGCTGGACTTGTATTCACTGTGGCTAGACCCCAGGAAAAGCGGTTGAGGATATGGGAAAGTATTCCCCTGTCTCTCCAGGTCTCGAGGTGTTACTCAGAGCTAAGTCATAATAACAGTATCTTTAAGGATTGTAGTAGGGTGCTCACTTCGGCAGCACGTATACTAAAAAAGGATTGTAGTAGGAAAAATAATAATAGTGACCATTTATTGAATACAATGGTACCTCAGTTCACGAACTTAATTCGTTCCAGAATTCTGTTTACAAACTGAATTGGATGAGAACTGAACCAAGTTTCTCCATAAGGTCAACATTGAACCTAACCATTGAATTTGATTCAGATCTTGTCCAATTTGATTTGCAAGCAGAAACATGGCAAGAGTTAAGTTCATGAACTGAGGTACCACAGTACCTGCTGGCTGCCTGGCTCTGGGCTATGTTTTAGTTATGCTGTCTGAAATAATGCTTACTATAACCCTGAAAGATAAGCACCAATACTAAAATGTATCATAGATATTGGGAAATGGGAAGAAAATGTTCAAATGGGAAGGGGAACAAGGGAGGAGGGAAGGAAGAAGGAAGGAAGGGACGTGAAAATAGAAGGAAAAAAATGGAAACGAAGCTTTTGTACATAGGAGAGGAGGCATGAGGGGAGGTGGGAAATGGGAAAAAGGGGTGGGATCTACCATGTACAGGTGGAAATTCCCTATGATGAGTGTTATCAGTATGTAACCCTAAAATGTATCAATAAATATTTTGCTATAAAAAAAAAGATAAGCACCATTATCTCCTCTTAGAAAAATCCAGTTTGCCAATCTAGGAGTGGTGGAGCCAGATTTGAACCCCTATTTACTGAGAGTCCTAGAGTAGCCATCATGAAATCTAGGATCTGGATCATTCTTGGCAATTATGGATGAGATTGGTGATATTGCCATGTTCACCCACAACCCCTCCCTGATAACTAAGACACCCATTGGAGATATTTTGACCTCAGGGTCAAAGTGTTGATGAAAATATTCCACATATGTAACTAGAATAGTGTAATGATCCCTCATTCCAGTTATTAAGATTTTGCTATCCTTTCATTTACTAGGTCAGCAGGATCCACAGTGATTAATTTTTCCCAGAGATGTTCTAATTTCCTTAAGCTTCCTCCACTGTTTCAAGGCCTCTCCTAGAGCCTATTCCTCAGCTTGATCTTGATCTGATGGGTGGTTTATGGGTTTGCCCTACTTTCTATCTGGCCACCCTTCAGGAGCTGCAGAAAAGAGCTGTAAACATGGAGCTGAGGACCGGACACAGAACATTATCATGGCTATGAAGGACCGCATGAAAATCCGAGAGCGAAATAAACCAGAGATCTTTGAAATTATCAGGGATGTCTTCACAGTGAGCAAAGTTGCCCATGTGCAGCAGATGAAAACAGTGAAGCAGAGTGTACTGGATGGCACCTCTAAATGGTCAGCCAAGATTACCATCACTGGTAAGCATGCAAAAATGTGAGGGAACAGAGAGGCTTGGACTGTGGGGAAGAGCCTGGGGAAGAAGCATCCGAGGTATGAGGGAGCAAATGTAGGGACTGAACTGAGGGGAAGGAAGGAGAGCACTGTTTACCACTCCTTACCTAGATTCTGGCTAGGAGAGGCAAGACTGATATCTACAAACAGTGCAAACCATAATGCAAGGATCTCGTAACAACCTGACACCATAGATTTGGTTAGCAGTAAGAGCTGGGATATATGGAAGGAGCAAGCAGGAGACCAGGGAGTAAGCAGTGGTTTACTAACCAGATGAGTAGGGCTGAAGCATGAGTGTATCAGAGAAACTAAGTGGTCAGTTAGGAATTGGGGTGGGAGGTGAGATTCTTGTGCTAGCCTTTGAGGGAAAAGATGGTGGCCTAGTACTAAAGAGATACGGAGATGTGAGATTAGGGTTATTGTGCAAAGAGCATGGGGAGGCTGCTCTAAAATGAAGAGTTGATGAGTAGTGCTCTGGAGGGCTTCTGACTTAACTCTGAGCATACTCTGAAGCTTTCTATATGTGCTTGGTTTGCAGTGGTGTGTGCCCAGGGCCTGCAAGCCAAGGACAAAACAGGATCCAGTGACCCTTATGTGACTGTGCAAGTTGGCAAAACCAAGAAGCGTACCAAGACCATTTTTGGAAACTTAAATCCTGTTTGGGAGGAGAAGTTCCATTTGTAAGTAACTGAGAGCTTTGTCTTACCGAGACTGTGTGTATTTTGGAAGTGGCATTACATCTTGTTTTTCTAGGCTTGAGTCCTAAGATTGGGGACAAAGGAAATAAATAGAGAAATTTCATTTCTCACATGCTTCACCTGGGTAGTATCCATTCTTCCTCTGGTCTTCTCCATATAAACTTTTATACTTTGCCAAGCCTTGTCTTAACTAGGGCTCTTTCGGGTCCCAGATTACCCCATATTCCTTTTTCTAGCACTCCAAAGACTATTGCTCACTGGCTAAACCAGGGATTGTACCTCTCAGCCCCGCCTCCTTGCCTAGAAAGTGTTGAGCTTTTCTGAGGCATAAGAAAAGAATCTTTGTCCTACAATAGGATAATTCTGGTTTGTAGCTAGAAATCTGGGTTCTAGAAAAATCCATTTTCCTTAAGAGACGCTTTTCTTCCTGCTTCCATCTCTGCTCCTTTTTCTTTATCTCAATTTTTTATATACTGTTTCATATGAGAAGAGGGTGGATTTGAAAAATGGCAAACTCTAGCATAGAACCTAATATCTAGAGAATCCAGATTCTTTGCCTGCCTACTTCCAAGGTCTAGGATCAAGACTTTGGATCTTGGGCTAGAGATTTAGCTCAGTGGTTTCGCCTCCTGCTGCATAACTGCAAGGACCCGAGTTCGATCCCCAGTACCAAAAAAAAAAAAAAGACTTTGGATCTTAATCAGTGAGCACCCTGGCTATGTAGGAGCTGTCTTTCTGTTGGCTCCTCAAATAATTCACATGGAAAAGAACTGAAATATAATGAAATCCAATCCAGGGGCAATAGTTACTGGAAAAGGCACCTATTTGAGGATGTAAATGGTTTCTGCTCAGATACTTATGACTAATTTTTTTATTTCCTCCCTTTTTTTTTGGTACCAGGGATCAAACTTGGGATCTTGTGCTTGCAAGGCAGGCAGCAGAACCACTGAGCTAAAGTCCCAGCCCACTTATGACTAATTTTAAATGAACTGGTTCTGTGATCATTTTTGTCCACTTTGAGTAAACTTAAATTCCTATTCTGTACAAGACACTACACATGATATTATGAATATCTCAAAATGAATAAGGCATTCTGTAGCTTCAAACTCATTGTTGATTTGTCTATTATTTTTTAGTAGACCAGTAGTAGTTAAATGATAGTATTTTGGTGGAATGTAGAAAAATACGCAAACATAGGGGCAGGAGCAGAAAATTCTGCTGAGTACAACTTTTGGGTAATGGAATAGGATCTAGAAAACAACTGCTGGGTAGAAAACCATGAAGGGGGACTTGGGCAACTCCTCTAAAGCAAACACCATAGAGGAAATAGCAATTCAGGGAATAGTAAAAGATGATAGAAGTCCAGCAAGCACATAGATAGATAGGAGAATTAGATGAAAGACTAAGTAGATATGACTAGGTGGACCTACCCAGCACATCTAGCACCTTTACTGACTTCATATCTCAGACTAAGGAGGGAGATAGCAATTGCTTTCCTAAGGCTTTGTGACCTATATAGCTGTTCTGTTAGTATTGCTGATGCAGCTAGTTGCATAGGAAGTCAGAATTGATTCTAATTATGCATTTACCTCCCCACCTCTTTGTTCCAGGGCTATAAGTCCTGGATATATATAGAGCCACCAAGGCTGAGGAGTAGAGAACCATTTGCTGGGATAGCCCAACTCACTTGGAACTGTAGTACCCCCTGGCTGCTGACTCCTTTTCCTCTTTCAGGGCTTTAAGTGTAGTCGACAGAGCTTTTGGGAGGGAATTGGAAGTAATAGGAGTGGTGATACTGGGTTGTCCCTAACAGAGCCTGTCTCCCTCACTCCCAGTGAGTGCCACAACTCCTCTGACCGCATTAAGGTACGTGTGTGGGATGAGGATGATGACATCAAATCAAGAGTAAAGCAGCGACTGAAGCGAGAGTCTGATGATTTCCTTGGCCAAACCATCATCGAGGTTCGGACACTGAGTGGCGAGATGGATGTCTGGTACAACCTGGGTGAGGAAACTGGACCAGAGAAAGTTGTTATGAAGAAGGGACCTAGGAAAACTTTCATCTGCCAAAACCATTAGTCCCCAAAGCATACCTCCCTGAAGAGCCTGTCTTACCTTTAGAGAGCTAACTATGGATAGGGATAGGAGATAGGGGAGTGGCAGTGGCTAGAACTCACGCAGGCTAAATATTCTCCAGATTTCAGAAGGTCCTTTAGTCTTCCTCCTCATCCCTAATGCCTTTAGTTGGCCACTTGGTGCCCTCCCACTCAGCCAGTAGAGGAGTATTTGTGGAGTATGTGGTCCCTGGAGTGGGTTCACCCTATTGGGTGACACTTGGATTGTTGCCATTTTTACTTTGGGTTAAACTAGGATGAGCCTGTCCATATTGTCTATAATTTCACTGATGTCAATCTATAATCCTTTTCCTTTCTAGAGAAGAGAACAGACAAGTCAGCCGTCTCAGGGGCTATCCGACTACAGATCAGTGTGGAGATCAAGGGGGAGGAGAAGGTGGCCCCATACCATGTGCAGTATACATGCCTCCATGAGGTGAGCCAGCCCTTTGTAGGTAGAGGAGGCCAGAAAACAGGGAGGGGCTGTTGACCACAAGTAAGACAGCTAGGTATTTGAAGATCTGAGGCCTGATTTTTGTTCTGTCCTTGGCTTAAATGCTACCCTGGAAAGTGCAGAGGACTGAGCCCAGACTTGATTCTCTGAGAACAGCCTAAGAGGGCTGTAGGAGGTACCGAGCAATGACTCAAAGGACAAAATTTCTAGAGTCCAATTCATATTCTCTTGGACTTCACCACAAAGATTTGGGTTTTGTTTTGTTTTTATTTGTTTTGGTTTCTTGAGACAATGTCTCACTATGTAGTCCAGGGTAGCCTTGAACTCACCATCCTCCTGCCTCAGCCTCTGAGTGCTAGGATTACAGGCATGTAGCATTCTCAGCTCTTTTTTTTTCTTTAATGTATTTAACCTTTTCCTTTCCTCTGCTCTGTATCCTACAGAACCTTTTCCATTACCTCACAGACATTCAGGGCAGTGGAGGAGTCCAGATCCCTGAGGCCCGAGGAGATGATGCATGGAAGGTGTACTTTGATGAGACAGCTCAAGAAATTGTGGATGAATTTGCCATGCGCTATGGCATTGAGTCCATATATCAGGCCATGACGTGAGACTCCCTTGGGGCTCTGGGAAATAGTTATTAATCCTTGGTGGTTAATGAGTGCACAATGACATGATAGACAGCTGCTTAGGGGGATAGCATGTAGTATGATTCCTTATATTCCTCTATGCCTCAAGGCAGAGGGAATACGTAAAAATATAGTGTGTTTGTCAGCAACTTGGGGACCAAGTTCAGGGATAGGCAGGGAAAAAGGGCATAGGAGGGTAAACAAGGACACACCTGTCCAGACATCACAGGCTGAGCAGACAGAGCATGTATGTGCTCAAGCAAATATGTGCTGACCAACAAGCTGTCCTAGACTGGCATGGGAGTCAGAAATGGCACTAAACTGTAAGGAAAACAGATGTGTATGGAGTCAATCAAAACTACCATGACAGGGGCCGGAGATTTAGCTCAGTGGTTTCACCGCCTGCTGCACAAGCGCAAGGACCTGAGTTCGATCCCTGGTACCAAAAAAAAAAACCTACCATGATAGGAATTCCTTGTGCTATGAGAAGTAACTGGCAAGGCTGCCACTGGAGCTGCACATAGGGAGCATCCTGCATAAACAAAGATAGTGATTGCCCTGGCTATGCTTCACTGATTCTACTAAATTTTACTGGGTTGCTACTTGGCTTTTGCTGAAAGTCCTGCAGAATTTTTGAGAATGAGAGTACTGTCTTTTTCAGGCACTTTGCATGTTTGTCATCCAAGTACATGTGTCCTGGTGTGCCAGCAGTGATGAGCACCTTACTGGCCAATATCAATGCCTACTATGCTCACACAACCGCCTCCACTAATGTCTCTGCATCTGATCGCTTTGCAGCCTCCAACTTTGGGGTATGATATAAACACGTACACATCCATTTGTTATCAATAAAGTTTTTTTTTCCTAGCCAGTTCATAGAGTTGATTGATGAATTCAGATACTTGCCACTTTGATAGGTGGACCTTCTTTCCTTATGGATATGTAGACTACACTCAGTAGACTCTCTCCTCAAACACATATAAGTGATAGCTCCATTGTGATTTAGGAAGACTGCCACCTGGGCTCAGGAAGAACCTTTCTGGGCTAACAACTTGGTTGAGTCACCATGTTCTTCGGCCTTACAGGTCCACAAATGGACTTTTCTTAATATTATTTAGTTTCTCTGTGACAGATTCATGCCTCTTAATTTCATATAAAGCTGATGTCCAAGGGAGGATGACAGTATGTGCCCAGACTTAACCCTTTTCCAGTGTCTGGACTGTTTCCCTTTTGTACCCTTCCCAGTGTTAAGGTGACTAAGAAGTTGAGTCATAACCCAGAATGGCACCTGACATCAATTCAATTAAACCGAGTGAAATATTTCTGGCTTATCACAAAGCTTGTCTTTGTAAGGATAAAATTACTCACTCCCTCCCTCTCAGTCCATTGAATCTCTGAGCTCTACTCTTTGGTACTACATCATTTTTTTGTTACTGATATAGATGAATTAATATAGTTTATTAAGCCAATCACATATCTGTTCTATCTCATCCCAGTGTGAAATGATATGATATCTAATGACAATAATCAATATATGAGTTCTAGGAATGTTATGCCAACAGTCTTCGGGAAGATGATTCCACATTTAGTTATATTTTTTCTATGAAAGTCAACTACTAAAATAATATATGTTATATGTTAGCATTGAAAAGGCACACAGTAAGGGAAAGTAGGATGAAAGTGATTTAAGGAAAGGTTCCCCTTATTTATATCTGACTCTCTTCCGAATACCATTTCTCCCATCATTTCTACTAGGCTGTGGCTATGTACTTGCTATGCATTTCCCAAGATAAGTTAAGAAATCTCATTATCAGGAACAAGTTGGAGAATATGCTCAGAGTTTCATCTGAATAAGATGAGTTCTCCCTAAAGGGATAGAGATGTATAGATAATATTTGTTGACTTGTGTATACAAAGAGATGTTTTCATTCCCAATGGCTTGGCTTTTCCCTTATCATTGTGAAAAGATTCCTTAGTTTGAGATAGAGCTGCTAAGAGATGGAACAGGGACCACGTATTTTCCTTTTGTATTGTCTGTTGTTCTCCCTGTGGCAGGAATGGGATAGGATATGTTACTAGCCATAAAATGTTGCCTCTCCATCCTTTCTACTCATCCAGAAATCATTCTATTTCTGCTATAATTTAGGGGGATCAGAAACAGATTATCTCTCTCCTCCCCATTTCTTGTTTCTTATCCTCAGAAAGAGAGATTTGTAAAACTGCTGGACCAGCTACACAACTCACTGAGGATCGATCTCTCTACATACAGGGTAAGTCAAAGCAGTGGCTGTGGGTTGGGATAATAATGTCAAGTTCTGTCTAGGAAGACATAGGCCAATCTTGCTATAAAGATCAAAGGCAGGGAAAATTAGTTTGTGCCATCACACCCACCTGAGTGGCCAATGCCCCTAACACCGGTGATTCTCCTAGCTCGAAGGACCATGCGGTGTATAAATAGCAGGTGTGGCTGCTTTTTATAGACAGTTGACTTTCTAACCCTTCTCATATCACTACCGACCCTCTCATGACATTCTCATTAGGAGTTTCCTAATGATAATTTCTCCCAAAAGTACCTTTTAAAAAAATAATTAGATGCTTTCCAGGGATGGTGGCACACACCTGTAATCCCAGCTACTTGGGAGGCTGAGGCAGGAGGATTGTGAGTTCAAGGCCTGCTTGGGCAACATAGCAAGATACTTTCTAAAAAAATAAAAAATTAGATACTTAATTACATTTTCATTTTGTAATTTTCTGTACTCTCCTCATATTTTCAGGGAGATATGAGAATCTGGCTAGGGTAGAAAGAGTAGCTTGGCCGGGCATGGTGGCACATGCCTGTAATCCCAGCACTTGGGAGGCTAAGGCAGGAGGATCACCATGAGTTGGAAGCCAGCCTGGACTACATAGTAAGTTCAAGGCCAGCCTGAAATAGAGTGAGACCCTGTCTCAAAAACAAACAAAAAAACACCAAAAATTTTTTTAAAAGAGTAACTTGGTGTGGGCAAGTGCAGTAATTTGTTTCAGAGGTCTTGCCCATTTGTAGTATGGAGGCCGAAAACAGGTTCAGTAGGAAGATAGATACCTGAGATGGGGCAGGATATCTTAGAGTAGCTTCATTACTTGCTTAAAATGTTGTAAATTTCCAGGACAGGCAATATACACATATTAAAAAGTAAATATAATCCCCAGTACCAGAAAATATTGATGTTCAAAAAGTAAGCATAAAAATCATCTCAAAAGTTTTTTAAAAGTGAGATTTTAATTATCTGTACTTTCAATGTCTTCCATTTGCAAGCATAATGGAGAGATGATTGTATCTTATTTTTGATATATAAGTAGCCACTTGAATGTTAAAAAACTGACCATTAAAGAGGAGAAGAGTGGCTTGGAGAAGAGTTAGCTCTTCACGACAGCTTCTTCCTAAAACTCATGCTAGCCTGCTGTGCAAGCGCAAGGACCCGAGTTTGATCCCCGGTACCAAAACAAAAAAAGCCTTCCAGCTAAAACTCATGCTAAGGGGAATGAAGTGAAGCATGCAGGAAAATCTTAAGGAACTCATTACAAAGAAGTTCTGTTCAGGACTTTGTCATCTGCTGGCTCCAGAACAGGAGAAGACTGGGGTCTACTGTACAGAAAGTACAGGTCCTGGAGTGCAGTTTTGTTTGTAGTGTGGCTCTACTTATATTCCAGGATATACAGTTAGATTTTGACTTATGAAGAATTCACTGGGTGTAAGAATCTTCATCCAAGAAAGTTATGTGTGTATCTGTGTGTTTGTATGTGCCTGTGCATTTGAACAAATGCTCACACACTGCATGGGAAGTTGGATGTGCTGCTTTTTCTAGCTGTGATTATTAATCTCTGTTTTGAGCAAGGACCTGCATCGATAGAAAAGAGGGAGACCTGTAATGTTATAGCTTTTTTTTTTTTTTTTGCCTAGCTCAACTACAGAGAATCCTAGTGGGTTTTGATTTCATTGCTTTTGGTGGAGAAGGTTTTCCTATTCCTGTGATCCTTTCTTACATTTGCTTGATTTGCAACAGAATAATTTCCCCGCTGGGAGCCCTGAGCGGCTTCAGGATTTAAAATCCACAGTGGATTTGCTGACCAGCATTACTTTCTTCAGAATGAAGGTAAGGATGGGCAGGGCTGGTTGGCGCTGGGCTGTGAACCTGGCCACAAACACAGAGAGAGTAAGAATTATTGAGCAGAGTCTGAGGCTAGAGTTCATCACCTTGAAACTCACATTTCCATACACCTGTCTGAGAGGCACATATAAATTGATTCAACAAGGGTGGTCTCTGGAAGTTCTCCCCATCAGCTGTTCTCAGTTTCATCATAGAGCAAGGTCTAGGGACCCAGAAAAGGATGAAGGAATCTAGAGTGGGATTGGGAGAGTGCTAGGACAGTATTCCACTTAGGAGAGCAGGATCCTGAGCCTGTATTTCTTCCACTAATTGCCAGGTGCAAGAGTTGCAGAGTCCGCCCAGAGCCAGCCAAGTGGTAAAGGATTGTGTGAAGGCCTGTTTGAACTCTACATATGAGTATATCTTCAACAACTGCCATGACTTATACAGTCGCCAGTACCAGCTGGTAAGAGGTTTGGAATCTGCTGGGCATGGTAGCCCAAAAAAGAGGTTCAGAATCAGGTAAAGCCAGCAGACAGCTTCGGCTTTTCCTTGCTAGAATCATGGTGGAAAGGAGCTCAGGCCAAAGTCCTTTAATGTTCTCGAGGGAGAATGAGTTGTGAAGTACAGACCACTTGGATTGTGAAAAACATTTGTGGATTGACAGGGACCCTTAGACAAAACATTACACACCTGAGTTGAACAAAAAGTGACAACAATAAGTTTTACTTTAAAACTGAAGAAAGTAAACTTAAATTTGAGCATGGTTTGGGGGTTGGTTGAGTGGTAGAATTCTCTTTATTCTAGAGTCTTTTCTTTTTCACCCACAGTTAATTTTTTTCTGACTCACGTGGACCCCTGTAGGTTGTGTGCTGTCTTCCTTTGAGATCTGTAGTTGTCTGTCTGAGCTCTAGTTTGTGAAAGTTTTAACTTTTCCTCCTGATTTTATCTCTCTTCAATGCATGGTCTTCTGAGATACAGTAATACCTCAGTTCATGAACGTTTGTGTTTGCAAACAGTTTAGTTCAAAAAAAGCATTCAGCATAATTCACAAACTCCACATCAGTTGACAAACATGACTACAGCCATCTTCTCCACACAAACACAAGCACAAACGCAGCCATCCTCCCCAAAATCATAAAACAAATTAAGTTTATAAACCAAGGTACCACTGTATATTCACCAGCTGACTCGTAAGGCTGATCCTGTCTTTCTGTGAGACTGAGATACTTCACCTGTTTTTTGTTTGTTTGTTTGTTTGTTTTTTGGGGTTTTTTTGTTTTTGTTTTTTTTTGGTACCGGGGATCGAACTTGGGTCCTTGCGCTTGCGCAGCAGGCAGCGAAACCACTGAGCTAAATCCCCAGCCCTACTTCACCTGTTTTATGATGGCATTCTAATTCAGTACCAGGTGACTTAGTACATTTTTCTAGATCCTTCCAGTTGTATCTTTTCCTCTTTTCCCTCTCATTTCAAAGCCAGGACTTCCAAGTCCAGTCACTCAATTATAGTTCCTGTCTTAGGAGTGTCTTGCTGACTACACATTTACAGAGTAGCTTTCCCTCAGTCCAATAAGTATACATTGAAAGTCTGTTCTAAGCCAGGCCTGAAGAAAGCACAGTGCTTCTTCAGTAAGTACACAGTTTCATGAGCATATATATAACTTCAATCAAAGTAGTCTGTTAAAAGAGTCCTGAAAAGCAGTAAGATTAAAGGGATTCCAAGCATTTGTAATGCTTTCCATGAGCACCTTAATAAAGACTAAGATCTTGTTCATGCTGCTCTCTCTTATTCCCAATGTACTTTTTATACCAGCCAAACATTTAAGGCTTCCTTCTTAGGTTTCTAAAACTTTTCATTGGTTCTGACTTCCATGGGAGGTTTTCCCATGGGTCTTTATTTTGCTTACTACATTCTGGGCTCCTCTATCAGCCATCTGATAGGGAGATTCTCTCTGACTAGGGAGGACACTGTTCTCAGCTTTGATCTTGCAACTATGCAGCTCTGCAGGGGTTAGTTTGAATATTTGGTGTCTATACTCCATGATGACAATGAACTCAGACTTTGAAGAGGCCTTGCAAACCATTGAAGGACCTGCTTGTATTTTGTTAGTTGTTTTTTACTTTCTCTCAATCTTACTTTCTCATTTTTCACTGTTTACACTGTAGTAAACCCTTGAGGTATTTGTAAACATTTTCCTCTACTCACTTTCTGTCATTGATTCATTCATTCATTCACCTAACAAACAGCATTAGAGATGGAAAGTTGAGTAAGACTCATCTGTGCCTTTGGGAACTAATTGTGTGGTGGAGGTGGGGCAACTCACTATAGTTACTATTCTTTTATTATTACATTTTATTGTAGTTGTAGTTGTAGTTGTAGTTCTCTGATATGTCTGTACTAGAGGTTAACAGAGGAAGGACATCTGCCCAGACCAGGGGTGTCAGGGAAAACTTCTCAGAAGTAAAATTCAACCAGGATATTAAGGAAGGAGTAGAAATCAGCTCAAAAGAGGGGCTGGAGGTGAGGGGAGATACCATGCAGAGAAAATAGAATGTTTGAAGGGATAGAATTGTTAATTTAAGGAAACATAGCAATTTAATTAGGCTTTCAAATTCATCTCTCTGGGATCAAATCTTGGTTCTGCTATTTACAACATGACCTTGGGCAAGTCATGTAATCTTGCTGTCCTTCAGTCTCCTTGTCTGAAAATGAAAGTGATAATAATTTCTACTCAATGAAGTTGTTATGAGGGCCAAAGGAGATAAGGTATATAAAGTTCTTAGTAGAGTCCTGGGACTACAATAAGTAGTGGTCACAGTGTAATGCTGAATGCAACAGAAGAGAAGTGGTAAGGCATGAAGGTGAAAGGTATTATTTTGAAGGACCTTTGTGTCAAGCTAAGGAATTTGAACTTAATTGAAGGACATTAATCAGAGGAGTAACACTGTGAGACTTTCCTATAAAAAGATCCTTGACACCTCCCTAGAGGAGGTATTGGAGAGTCTTAGCTGGGATAGTGACAGAAAAACTAAAAAGAACAGATGTATTTAGGTGATATTAAGGAGGTAGAAGCAACAGGATGTAAATTCTGTTCTGGTTTCTAGTAACTTCTTGGTGATGCAGGTTTATAAAGGACTGTTGGAGACATTGCAGTGACATGTGACATCCACATAAAAACACTATCCTGTTCTTCTGGGCTCCTACCTTTTCCCAATGGGATATTACATCCATTCCAGTCTTTCTGTAGTGATAATTGGCTGTCTTGTCTGGAATCTGAATGTGGAATGGCTCCTCTTTTCCTGAGGTCCACCATTGCATCACCTTGCCTCTTTCCAAGCAAAGCCTTTTCTTATCCAGCTATGCAGAGCTTCCTAGACACAGTTTTTCTACTGAATGCCCTTCAGGGAGCCAAGAGAAGCCTTACCCCAATGAAAAGCTAAAATGTCTGCAAGGTCTGTTCATTAGCTCCTGCAGAACCTAAAGGAGCTTCTGAGAGTGGAGATGCTTATGTGTGGTGGGGGAGAGACAGAGTAGGGACACCACCAGAAGACCAGGGTGGCCTAGATTAGGGGGGATCATAGAGAACTGGATCTGCTTAGTGAGGCAGGAGGGTTACTCACGTCAACCAAGGAGTCATCTGTCCACAGCAATTGAGCAGAGGAGGAAGGGAAATAGGTACCTTTGTGTATCCTGGACTGGTAAAGCTTATCGGGGCAGTGCCCTGGAGCTGAGGAGGGAAATTCTCCAGGGACAGAGTACCTCCTAATAGTCACCCCTCTTGTGGAACAGGGCCAGTCTTGTGGAAGACAGGCTCTAGGAGAAGAAGGGCCCTGATTCTAAAAAAGGGGCAATGGGAGGGGAACCAAAAGAAGAAGATTTGAGACAGTTTTTCGTTTCTCCCTCTTTCTCTCGGTCTCCTTTGGAACAAGAAGCAGGAGCTACCTCCAGAAGAACAAGGGCCTAGCATTCGGAACCTGGATTTCTGGCCCAAGCTCATCACACTCATTGTATCAATCATAGAGGAAGATAAGAATTCCTATACCCCTGTACTGAACCAGTGAGTATCACCCTACTTGGCCCAGTCTGCTTCATGATTGATCTGTGTATCTAACAGCCTCTTTCTTTCTATCTCCCTGTGTTTACAGTGCTACCTCTTCTTCCTGTCCGTTCATCTGTCCCTCTGTCCCTTGTATGTGTCTGGGTAACTGTTTCTGGAGACAGGTGTGGAAACATAATGGAGGGCCCTGCTCAGACTTAGACTTCCTGGAGTAAGAGGCTTCTGGGACTATGGCTGCCATGGGAGCCCCACAGGATCCACAGATTATGTGTGTGTGTGTCTGTCTTCCACTGTAAATAAAGTGGGCCTTCTTAAAACCCACCCACTTCCCCTTTCTCCTCCAGTTTATCCTGGGCCTGTTTTACACCTCTCTTCTGAGCCTGAATTCCTTGCCTTCTGGGTATTCTATTTCATGGACTCAACCTGCTAACGAGGATTCCTTTGCCTCTACTTGTCTTACCAGTGGCTCCATTTCTTCAAACTGACCCTAGCCCTGTTCTTCAGGCTTCTCTTCTCTTCAGTATGACCTTCAAGAACTAGGTACCTTGGAATGAGTCAAATCAAATGGCCCTTGTCTTATTCTCTGACTATGATTTTCTGTCATCCAGGTTTCCTCAGGAGTTGAATGTGGGAAAAGTCAGTGCAGAAGTGATGTGGCATCTGTTTGCCCAAGATATGAAATACGCATTGGAGGGTAAGGGTCTGCCCAGATGAGTGAGCCACCAGGTTCCTAGCCCAGCTTGTAAGCAAGCAATCCCTTTCTTCTCCCAGGCAACTGTGAATTCTGGATAAATGGTACAATGAAAACTAGAGGGATTCAGTGGGAGGGTAGGCTTTAGGAGGCCTTGAGTGGGCAAAACTATAGGCAAAAGAAATACAGTAATGGACATGGCTATGTGGATGTAGGTTCCTGCTTGCAGCTTTAGAGCAAGTACGTGTTCAAGTATTTCTCAGCCCAGAGATAACTCCTCCTGTGATGAACATTCCCAGGAAGGCAGCCCACTTCCTAGACAATGGTTTTGTGAAACTTATCTTTGCAGTTTTGCAGAGTTTTGTTTTGATGTTTTGTTTGAGACAAGATCTCACTATATAGGTCAGGCCAGCCTTGAACTGACGTGTAGCCCAAGCTGGCTTTGAACTTGTCGCATTCCTCCTGCCTCAGCCTCCCAAGTACTGGGATTACAGGCATGTACCACCATACCCAGCTTATCTTCACAGTTTTTAAAAAAAAATCTAGAGAGCCTTAAATACAAAGATAGAAATCTTTATTTTCTCATATTTGGGACTGACAGGGCTGGCTTCCCTTAAAAGCTGTTCTGGATTACTGTGACAAAGCCAGAAAGACACTTCTTCCCTCACTCCCCTTGTAGAGCATGCCCACAGATGTGTTATTATTCATCTTGTTCATCCAGCTTATTCTTTTTCCATTTCTCTTGTTGGTCCACAAAGATGTTACTCCCTATCTGTGTCAGACCTTCACATATGTACCATCCATGCTTATCTTCTTATTTGCCTTTCCTGTCTGTATAAGTTAGTGTAGCACCTCAGTCTGTCAAGATGGATCTAAAAGAAGGAGGAGCTCTGTGGGGCAAACACAAAGCAGAGTCCAGAACCGTTATTTGGGTGGAGTATAAGGGAAATGGGTAACCCTCAGACTCAACTTAAACTTATGAATTTTAAGTTTAGAATCAGCAAATCTTGAGATTAAAAGAAACCTTGAAGATTTGTGCTAGGTTTGTGACAGCACAGGCCACACATGTGCATTCTGTAATTCAGCCGAAGAGCAGTGGCTGCATCCTGCCCACACTGGACCCACCCTGGGACTATGGCCCACACATCAGCCTGTGTGAAGTTTGGTCCAAGTTCTTGAAGAACTCCAGCTCCAGTGGGCTTGGGGAAAAAGATAAATATCTGTGAAAAAGAATCAACTGCACAAAAGAGGGGTGGTATGTGATGCAGCAGAAGTTTGCAGACAAATACCTCAGGAACTAAGTTAAAAGGGAAACCCAGGGGCTAGGTTACAGGCCTTTTACTTAGTGCCAACAAAGTGAGCTTACTTTTTAAAATCTTATATGGGGTTCTGGTATGGTATCTTTTGAAAAAGGAATTCTGCTAATGTTAAAAACAACACAAAAAAGTTGAAAACTGCTTTAAGAGAATGAACAAATATTGACCTGGTTTCAAATCTCAGTTTCACAACCACTTACTTAGTGTGGCCTTGGATCCAGCTACTTAATTTTTGTGAGCTCTCATTTTTCTCATCCCTAAAATGACAATGGCATCTATTTCACTGGGCCAATAAAGTAACTGAGATATATAAAACAGCTGCAGGGCTGGGGATTTAGCTCAGTGGTGCCACCACCTGCCTCACAAGCACAAGGTCCTGAGTTCAATCCCCAGTACCAAAAAAAAAACCAAAAAAAACCCCATAGCTGCATAGTACCTAGCATCTGCTCAGCACTGAATAAGTCTTAGCTATTACAAACAACTAGAAAAAGCCGGCATGGTGGGGAACACCTATAATCCCAGCACCTGAGAGCTGAGACAGGAGGATTTCCATGTGTTTGAGGCCAGCCTGGACTACACGGTGAGACCCTGTCTCAAAAGAATGAATAAATGAATAAATAAAACAATTAGAACTATTATAGGGAGAAATACAATGTGAACAAAATAGAATTTTAAAAGTATTTTACTTCAGCAGAAGTCAGGGGAAGCTGGGAATAGGAGAGGTAGAAGCAAAGAATATAAATAATGAAAGGGCTGTTGTAATCATTTAGGAATGAGGGAGTGGGCTGGGATTCCAGAAGGAAAATGGGTTTTGATAAACACTGGAAAGAAGTTGGAACAAGATCTAGTGAGTTTTGAATCTGCAGGGAAGGTAGAGGGGAGGAGTTTGGGGGCTTGGATAATAAAAGGACAGTGTTGATGTTGATTGATGCTGATTGTGAAAGGAGAGTCGAAAATACTGTCCTTTACCAAAAATTTTTCCCTTTTTTCCTTTTTTTTTTTTTTTTTGTGGTACCCGTGATTGAACTCAGGACCTTGTGCTTGCAAGGCAGGCTCTGGAACCACTGAGCTAAATCCCTGGCCGTTTTTGCCATTTTTGAGATGGGGTCACACTATGTAGTTCAGGCTGGCCTTGAACTCAAGGTGATCCTCCTGTCTCAGCCTCTCAAGTGCTGGGATTACAGGCATGCACCACTATGCCCAGCTACGAAATATTTTCTAAATCAACTTTATTGAGGTATAATTTATGTACAATAAAGTAAAATCATTTTAAGAATACAATTTGGAAAAAAATACAATTTAACGAGTTTTAGTGCATTCATAGACACACACCCCTGTGTAACTACTCTTTCAATTAAAATATGAAACACCAGCACTTGGGGGTCTGAGGCAGGAGGACTGCTACAAGTTTGAGGCCATCCTGGACTACCTAGTAAGACAGAAAGAAGGAAGGAAGGAAGGAAGGGGGGGGGAGAGAAAGAGAGAGAGAGAAAGGAAAGAAAAAGAAAGAGAAAGAAGGAAAGAAAGAGAAAGGAAGGAAGGAAGGAAGGAAAGAGGGAGGGAGGGGAGGGAGAAAATATGAAACAGAAAGTTCCTTGCAAATCCCTACTCCATTCACTGTTTACTGAGTATTTTCTTTGTACCAGGCACTGTGCTAGTTGTTAAGAGATAAGAAATTCACAAACCCCTTGAGAAACTCACAGACCAATCTAGAAAGCTTACATATAAATTGGTAGTTACAATACAAAGTTATAAAGGACACAAAGGATAAAGATATAGAAGAGAACCATGTAACCCAGACTCAAAACCTAAGAAGGCTTCCTGGAGATGTAGAAACTGAAACCCAAAGGAGGAGAGGAGTTAGCTGCTGAGAAGAGAAGAGGATAATAAGAACATTTTCATGCCAAAGATGCAGCATGTCTAAGACCTGAGGTCTAGAAAGAGCTGGCATGCTTAGAAAAATAGGAACATATTTCAGCATGACAGTAGGGAGAGAGATCAATGAGAGATGAGGATAGAGAGACAGGACAGCTAGATCATAGAGGAAATTAAGTCCTGTTTAGGTTTCTAGACTTCATCTGTGGCAGTTGGGAGCCTTTGACATGATAAGCAAGGGATCGACATGATCAGATTTATCATGCAGACTGCTCACTCTGGCTTCACTGTGGAGAATGAATGGAAAGGAATGACCAGTCTAGAGGCTACTGTAGTAATCCAGATTAGAGATCAAGGTAACAAATCTGAGCAGGTAATCTTGTGACTAGAAGGAAATGGGTAGATTCCAGAGCATTTTGGAGATAGTCAGCAGGAGTTGGTGATTTAACTGGATGTGAATATACAGAAAGAAGGAATATCTTAGGGTGATGCTTAGCATTGAACAAGAGGGTAAGACTAGTTGGTATATTCTGTTCAACTTTACCTCAGATGTAGATGGAGACTTAGAGTTAAATCTAGGCACAAGGAGATGTGCCATCAGTCTTTTATACACATTACCAGAACCAAAGAGATTCGAGGGAAGTATCATCAAAATAGATAGTTGACCTGATAAGGCTGAAGGAACTCTGCAAGGATGAAAGATGGAAGGAATAAAGCAGATGTTGGAGCAAGAGGTTATGGAAACATAATTTCCCCGACAGATTTAACCCCACCACCAGCAGTGGCAACAACCTCAAGGAACTTTGCTGGAGCGGAACTCCCCAGGCCTTGATAGAATATGGGAAGTATGACCAGTCTTTTGGCATTCATCTGATAGTGTTTATACCACCAAAGTTAATATTTAATGTGGAAATTGGGGCCTGGGGTGAAGCACAAATAATGAATTGATAGATAAAGAAAGAATTGTTTATAAATATGTCTTAGTAAAGGAAGAAAGGTTTATTTTGGCTCACAGTTTGTAGAGGTTTCAGTCCATAGTCAGCTAACTACAAAGCAGGGTGGCATGGCAGAGGGACATCACAGAAGATAAACAGTCCAGGGAAGAACAGGCAGGAGGCAACAAGTCGCAGAGCCTGCTTTCTTTTCTGTCCCATTATATTCCATTCATGCTACAAGCCTATTGGTTGGTGCCACCCTCAGCCAGGATGAGCCTCCCATTATCCACACCCAGAACTGTGCTAAACCAATTTAGTTATCACACACCCTTAATTTCCAATATTACACACCCTAGATCCAGCCACCTCCAAAAAGCCCCACCTATGAGTGCATGAGGCCTTGGGGGGGGGGGGGAATCTAGCTATAAGCCATAACAAAATACAATAACTAAACAGTCATGGGAAGAAAGTTAAGAAGCTCTGGAGTCAGGGAGCAGTCCTGCCCCAACTCCAATGAGTTACCAGACACAAAGGGCGAAGGCATTCCTGGTGGTGCTGATTTATGTTTCTAAGTCTAGGTCTAGTTTAAAAACAGCAGGGGATGGGGTAGAGAAGAGAATCTCTCTGATAGCCCAAATTTTTCCCTCTTTTTTGCTCACTGGTGTCTCTGCTCCGTCAAAGCAACCACTGTCATTCGTATTCGAAAAGTACTCTTTCCTGGTGGTAAGAATTTTTGGTTGTTGTCCCTTTACCTCTAGGCTTCATACCTTTTCCTTCTGCTCACTGCTTTATAGAAAACAGCAAATGCAGCTTCAGGTTGGGATGATGCTGCCTACAGTACCAGGAGATAGAAGTCCTGGAACCTGCAGTCTTTTGAGGCTGAACCCCAGGCTTCCATTTCCTTCCTGAGTATCTGCTGCACTAATTCACAAAGGCCAGTAGACTCAGACTAGCTGTTCTGCCTGGACTTGGAGGAGCATCTCCCATGGCATCCTAAAGTTGAGCAATAGAGTTCCCAGGGACACTGGCCTCTCCTTTGTTGCTTAGTACTTTCTCCCACTTACTTGCTTTTACCATTATACTATTTCAGCACACAACTGACATTTGGTTTTCAAATTAATGCTTCAACTATAAGAGGGATAGGGGAGTGAGGAGAACCTGTGGGTCTGGCCAGTGCTCCAGACTCTTAGCCAATATTTTCCAGAAGACCCTTAGGATTCCATTAGATGACCTTTGAAGTCCATAATAATAGTCCTGTTTTCTGCAACATGATAGCCCTTTTATCTGACTGTGTTTCCATAGTTTCCCAACTGACTATCCTTATTTGCATACTTCCCTGAGAGCTCATTTTCTGTATCACAGCTCTGCTCTGGAGCCATTCAGTTTACCTCAAGATGTTGCTACACTATGGCTGCTCAATTGCCTTTCTGTCAACTTGGACCCTCCTTGGTTTTCCTTGTCTCTGTGTAGTGTCATTGACCCATTCATACCATGCATAACTCTGCATTTAAGCCTATCTGAGGGAATGGCTTGCTACTAAGATTTTTTAAAACCCTAGAAAACCATTGTCTCCAGAAAACCACTGTCCCCATTAATCAGCATTAATACCTTCATCCCTTTTTCTTCTTCACCAAAGGCCAGTGACTGCACTGTACTTTCAAAAGTTAAAACATGAAGATTATAGGCTTTATCTGAGAGTCTAGCTTAGTGTCTCTAGAGGAAGATTTGGGCCAGGTCTTGGAAAGTGGCTGAGCATAGAGGTGGTGAGGGAGATGACTGAAGAGGAGGTTGCGAATCACCTGTCTTCTAAGACATCTGATAGAGCCACCTAACCAGATTTGCTGCTGTGGCAAAACTCAGGAACCCTGGTCTCTACTGCTGAGACCTGACACAACCTCCTTCCTCTAACTAGAACATGAGAAAGACCGGCTGTGTAAGAGCGCTGACTACATGAATCTGCACTTCAAGGTGAAGTGGCTCCACAATGAATACATGCGGGATCTGCCTGCCCTCCAGGAGCAGGTCCCCAAGTACCCAGCGTGAGTCATTTGGACCCTATGTAAAGGGATGGGAAGAGGGCCCCCAAATTGGCAAGGCTAGTATCCTCAATTCACCTCAGCAGCTAATCTCAGGACTGCCCGTTCAAGGCACTTCTGTAGAAAGTCTTGCCTTCCAGAAGATCCCAGTCTGGTACACTGTCAAGCATATAGCATATGCCAATCACTAGCTTCAACCTCCTTCTCTGGCTGCAGGTGGTTTGAGCAGTTTGTGCTACAGTGGTTAGATGAGAATGAGGATGTGTCCCTGGAATTCCTGCGTGGGGCCCTGGAACGAGATAAAAAGGATGGGGTAAGTTGGGGACTTGTGCTACATAGGCCAGGTCAAGTCATTCAGCACTTACCATTGGCAGAGGTTCCTGGGCTTCCACCAGGCTGGGTGTCCCTGCCCTGTGGAGTCCACAGAAGGACTGTGAAGAGCCACTGAGCCACCCCTGCTGGGCAGAGCTTTTTCAAACCCCACAAGCTTGAGAAAAGGTAGCAGCAGTGGATGCTTACTTTGTATGTGGCCTTCTTAGTTTCAGCAGACATCAGAGCATGCACTGTTTTCCTGCTCTGTGGTGGATGTCTTCACACAGCTCAACCAGAGCTTTGAAATCATCCGGAAGCTGGAATGCCCAGACCCCAGGATCCTTGCCCACTACATGAGAAGATTTGCTAAGGTGATTATGAGCCTTCCTGCCCCATTCCTCCTTAACACCACTACACTACAGTCAAGTTACAGGTCTGAGCTTAATCCCTCTCCACAGTAGCCTTCAGGTAAGGCTTAGCATTATCTTTTTTCCCTTTGCTTGTGTCTGGGGCAGACACAAGGACTGTTTTGGTGCTGTTCTGTGCTTGAGAGGGAGCTTTGCCCCTTCCTGTGAGATTCCTTTTACTTCCCTGATGCTTATTTTTCTGGGATAAGAAGTGCAACCTCAGGCAAGATCCCTGAGTGGAGAGCTAAGGGTTCCCTTTTCTTTTCTCCTTTTTTCTCAGACCATCGGGAAGGTGCTCATGCAGTATGCAGACATCTTATCTACGAACTTTCCAGCTTACTGCACAAAGGAAAAACTGGTAGGGTTAGCCCTGGAACACTGAGAAAGGGCATGGAGGACATTTGAATCCTTCTCGCTCTTGATGCTATCCTAAGATGCTTTTGACTTCTGCTTCCCTCCAGAGCTTTGCTGGAGATCCATACCACAAGATAGTAAGAACTTGACTAAGAGTTCTTCTAAGCCTCCATTTAGTGCTTTATCCTCTAATAAACCAGACCTTTGGTTAATCTTTTTTTTTTTTTTTCTTTTCTTTTTGAGACAGGATCTCACTGTATAGTTCAGGTTGCACTTGAACTCATGGCAATCCTCTTGCCTCAGGCTCCTGAGTGCTACAATTACAGGGTGAGCCACCATGCCTGGCTAGGTGCATGCCTGTAATCCCAGCACTCGGGAGGCTAAGGCAGGAGGATTGCCATGAGTTCAAGTCCAGCCTGGGCTACATAGTGAGTATTCACTATGTAAGCTGAACTACATATCGAGATCCTGTCTCAAAAAAATTTTAATACATTCAAAAAATTATAAAGGGTAATACCATGAATACCTGCAATCCCACCATCCAGCTTAATGACAAAAACATTTGCTTTTAATCTTCATTCATGTGAATTGGCTCCAGATCTTAGTGTTTAGGGAGAGGCCTATGTCATATGTGAAGTCCTTGTAGCTTTGTAATAATGAGAGAGAAGGAAGGACCCTAGACTAATGGGGCATGTGCTGGAAAGAACCAAGACTCAGGCAGCTCCATCTGTCTTCAAAGCCCTGCATCCTGATGAACAACATGCAGCAACTGAGGGTCCAGCTGGAGAAGATGTTTGAAGCCATGGGAGGCAAGGAGGTAGGCCTTAGGGTTTGGGGTCACTGTACTTTTTCCATTGTTCCTGAGCTCCCTGGCCACAAAGCTCTATCTTCTCTTGATTAGCATAAGCTAGTAGTTCATCTTGGGGTCTGGGCTGGCTTAATCTGAGGCGAGTGTTGAGGCAAAGCCCTAGAAAAAAGGACAAGGCATGTGGTGAGGCCTTAGGAGGGAGGAGCAAGAATTGGGGTACAGCCATAGGAGGGAAGAATAGAGGTACAGGAGGGAAGATTGTCAGAGAAGCAGCCTAGCCAGGCCCACCTCCTCTGGCTACAGCTGGACCCTGAAGCTGCAGACAGTCTGAAAGAGCTGCAGGTGAAACTGAATGCAGTTCTGGATGAGCTCAGCATGATGTTTGGAAACAGGTCAGTGGTCCCAAAGCACATAGCCCTTGGAGCCACATATAATTCCTGACCCATCCCAGAGCCCCTGCCCATACAATCCAGCTGCAGGTATGTGGATTCTCCTTCTACACTTGCTGACTGTCGCTGCTGGAAGAGCACTGTAAGCCTGAGGAATTAGGCCTGTATAGCTGGTGCTGCTCCGGGGTCAGTGTGGTGGGGAGGGGAGGGCTGCACTGTGTGTACATGTGTAGCTTCCAGGTTCGGATTGATGAATGTGTTCGACAAATGGCTGACATCCTGGGCCAGGTTCGGGGCACAGGAAATGCATCCCCCAACACCAGGGCCTCAGTGGCTCAGGATGCAGATAGTGTGCTGCGGCCTCTCATGGACTTCCTTGATGGCAAGTGAGTAGAGCATTCAAGGTTTCCTATGGGGACAAACAAAGCAGAGGCTACCAGACCGAGGAGCCTATTGGGCAGGGGGGGCCTCCCAGTCTGTCACTGTGGCTTCACCTGTTGCCTGGGCCTGCAGCCTCACACTCTTTGCCACTGTGTGCGAGAAGACAGTTCTGAAGCGAGTCCTGAAGGAGCTCTGGCGAGTGGTAATGAACACAATGGAAAGAATGATCGTTCTGCCCCCCCTTACCGACCAGACAGTAAGGACCCTTCCCTCTTCCTACTCCTTTCTCCCTTTCCCTCAGTCCCCACTTCCTGATAGAATTTGGAATCCTCTGCTTTTAACTGAACCCCTCTCTGCCCAGGGCACCCAGCTGATCTTCACTGCTGCCAAGGAGCTGAGCCAGCTTTCCAAACTCAAGGTTCTGTGGGTGTGGGGTCCTACTGAAGCTGGGAGGAGAGCCATTGGGCTTTGGAGATTGAAAAGGAGGGGGAAGTGAAGAGCGTGGAGCTATTGACTGGCAGTTGGGGGAAGACTTTTATGACTTCCCTGAGCTGTTCTGATGCTGCTGCTTTCTCTGGGGTTCTAGGACCACATGGTGCGAGAGGAAACACGTAATCTCACTCCAAAGCAGTGTGCAGTCCTGGACCTCGCTCTGGACACCATCAAGGTAGAGACCTCTCCCTTTTCCAGATAGTTTTAACCACCACATACTCCTGGGCCTAGCATTCCACCTTGCCAGACAAGGTGTCCCTGGGGCTCTTACTACTCCACATCCAGAGAAGAAGCCCTATATATTGTTAGGATTACAGAGAGAGCCATATATGGTTCCTCAGTTTAAGACATTTATGATGGGTGAAGCAGGAATAAGGCAGATCCTTATGGACTATAATTCAAGGCAGTTGGGAGACATATGTCCTAGGCATCAAGTTCCCTAAGGTTCAGAGGGATAAAAGACCATTTTTGGCCATTCTCCCTTCCTGAAATGCTTCTGTCCCTTATTTCTGCCTGACTACATAGACCCTTCCTTCAAACAACCCACCTCCAGGAACGTGGCCCTCCCCTCCTGCTCCTGTGAAATGCCCAAATTATGTTCTTTGCCTGAGAGACTGACTCATTCTGTGGGTGTTCTGGTCTTTTGAGTGACCTGTTCGTGCAGTCCTCTCCTGGCTTCTCTGAGAATAGTTGGGGAGCTGCCTCTCTGTGAGGGGGTAAAAGAGGTGCTCACTTATTTTTCAGCAATACTTCCATGCAGGAGGCAATGGGCTAAAGAAAACCTTCCTAGAGAAGAGTCCAGATCTGCAGTCCCTACGCTACGCCCTATCTCTGTACACACAGACCACAGACACTCTCATCAAGACCTTTGTGCGCTCACAGACTGCCCAGGGTAAGGTCATAAGGGCTTTGTGTCCCACCTTCCCCTCTCCCATACACAGTATCTTCTAGTGCTTTGGAAGGGTCTGTTTTCTTCTTCAGAGAGCCTTTCAAATCAGATCTCAGGATTCTTTGAAGAGACCTCAGACCTTATCCTCAACCTATAGTACCAGACAGGAGAATCAAAGGAGCCTGGAAATTGTGCCTGGGATTTCTTTTTTCTTTCTTTTTTCTTTTTTTTTTCTCCTTGGTACAGGATATCAAACTCAGGACCTTTCACTTGCCAGGCAGGCACAGTGCTACTGAGCTACTTCCCTGGCCCATGCCTGGAATTTCTTTCCCCAGACATTACCTGAGCAGTACATGTTTATTTAGCTCATGGAGTGTACCCTGTCTGGTAAGAGGGGAGAATAGGAAAAATCTGTGAGGAAGCCTTGAGAATGAGTGTTTGGGAGCCTTGCTGGAAGTTGTCCTGGGGAGAGAAAGCAAAAATCCTTTCCACACTCTTCACTGTGGATCAGGAGAAGACTAAGAGAAGCAAACCATGGGAGCAGCTAAAGGGAAGGCAGGGACCTGGGGACATAGTGCATAGTGGAAGCCCCAGCCTCAGTGTGATTGTTACACAGGGGACTAGGCTGCTGGTTTTTCTCAGGGATTTCCTGTCCTCAGAACTCACTGCCTCTAGCTAAGGTCTGTCCAAACCAACATACATCTGCATAGATGCAGCTCAGATGAAATTTTGACCTGATACTGCAGCTAGGCCCTCCAAGAAAGCACCTTCAGGCACATTTGCAAGAATATGGAGGGGATCTGTAGCACTGCTCCATTTTCTATATCTGTTCTTATTTTCAGTCCAGGGTGGGGAAAAGTGAGCAAAAGAAATAGCAGTGAGTCTGACTGAAGGGAGCAGGGAAAACTTTTACAGAGCCGAGTACATGTAAGGCCTATAACACCAGGGAAAAACAGAAAGGCTTCTCAGAAGCATTGAGCTAGATAAAAGCAGAGGATCCAGATGTGGTAGCATGTGGCTATAATCCAGCACTCTGGCAGGTGAGGCAGGAGACTCTTAAGTTCAAGCCTAGGCAACTTAGCAACTAATAAAACAGTAAATAAAAAAATAAAAAAGGACTGGAGATGTAACTCACTGTGAAAGGCCCTGGGTTTCAATCCCTACTACCACTTTAAAAAAACAAAATCTATAATCAAATACCAGAGAGGCTGGAAGGAGCACAGAAGAGGTGAGAGCAGAAGTGTACGTGCAGGGGTGGGGGTGGCCGACAAACATTTGTGCTCATTTTCTGTCCAAAGTTTTGCCATTTAAGGGCTTAGGAAAGTACACTACAACCTCTCTTTTGCCCTTCTCTGTATATTCTACTGCTTCTGCCCACAATTTGGTTGATCTCTGACCCATGAAGCCTAATGTGGAACATTCAGGCACTGACCCCAGCTCTTGGACTTTTCTTCACCCTGCTCCACCTCTGTGCTCCTCTAGAGTAAATGTAGAGCTGCTTTGAATAGCTGCAACTCCTTTGACCTCTAACAGTTCTTCTTTCTCTGTCCTATTGCTGCTGCCGCCTCTTGTCTTGCCTGTCCTCACTCAGTACATGATGGGAAAGGTATTAGATTTACCACTAACGAGGACATTCGGCCGGAAAAGGGTATGTTAAATACTGTGCAGACATGAATCTAACATGGACTAATGCTGACCTCTCTGAAGTGGAATGAGGGGCTTATGCTGGGGGTGATAAACTAGGTGTCAAAATTTAGGTCTATTCCAAGTCTAGGAGATAAGTGAGGTGTTCATATAGGCCAGGAAAGGATTCTGTTGTTGACCCCTGTTCCGTCCTCAGAATTCCACTCCCCCACACACTCATGCACCTCAGGACAAAGGAGTTTTTTCTGAGGTGTAGGGTAGTGATGTTCTCTCAAAACAGGGTGGGGTCTCTGCTGAGAAGAGCCTGTAGGTTGGCTCTTTTCAGAGATTGGAACTACAGAGTCTTTCTAAGAAGGGTGTGCTCCCAAACAGGGGGATTGCTGGGGATAGGTAAGAGGTTGCTGCTTTTGCCTAGAGAGGGACTAACAATGCTCCATTCAGAGACCTTATAGGTTGGACATAATTCACAGACACAGGATCACATCCCTGTGCTCCCCAGTATCCAATGAAAAGTTCTTTAGTCTAGGAGATAGGAGAGGTTGGAGATCCTTCGAGATTCATAGTGCATCCTTTTTTTTTTTTTTTTTTTTTGTACTGGGGATCGAACTCAGGACCTTGTGCCTTCAAGGCAGGTGCAGAGCTACTAAGCTAAATCCTCAGCCCCATAGTGCATCTTTGAAGGAAGTTTCTCCTCAGATGCTTTTGGCTTTCACTTGTATTACAATACACATTCACTATCCCCTTTCTTTCTCTTCTCCCATTGCTTACTTCCTTGTAGCTACTGTGTGTGATTGCTTCCTGAGTTTTACCTGAAACAATTAGTCCTAAGATCCTAGAGTTTTCCACTGAGCAGTTATCTGTCCATCTGTCTCAGGGTCTGGTGTGGATGATCCTGTGGGAGAAGTCTCTATTCAGGTGGACTTGTTTACACACCCTGGTACTGGGGAACACAAGGTAACAGTGAAAGGTGAGTGGTGTGGACTTAGAGGCCTGACCTTTTCTTCCCCATGACCTCACTTATCAGTTGAGAGCAAGGGCTGCTCATCCCAGTCCTCCAGCTCAGCTCTTCTCCACGGGGAATGTCAGCTGGAGCTCAAGAACTGGGAATGCCTGGTAGGATCCCTCACAGGTTTCCCTTTTTGGGGCAGTGGTAGCTGCTAATGATCTCAAGTGGCAGACAGCAGGTATGTTCCGGCCTTTTGTGGAAGTGACCATGGTTGGCCCACACCAAAGTGATAAGAAGAGGAAGTTCACAACCAAGTCCAAAAGCAACAACTGGGCTCCCAAGTACAATGAGACATTCCACTTGTAAGTTATGGGTGGGGTACCTGCAGGACTGTGGGATGGGGGTCATGTGATGGGGGGTTAAGACTGAAGAGGTGAAAAGAGTGATAATCTGGATGACAGACTGGGGTGAATTCAGCTGAGGACTCAGATCTGGCATCCTATCTTCTCTCCTGTGCTCACAGCCTCCTAGGAAATGAAGAGGGTCCAGAGACCTATGAGTTGCAGATATGTGTGAAGGATTACTGCTTTGCCCGGGAAGATCATGTGCTAGGGCTGGCAGTGATGCCTCTAAGGGATGTGACAGCCAAGGGCAGCTGTGCCTGCTGGTGCCCCTTGGGCCGAAAGATCCACATGGATGAGACAGGCATGACCATTCTACGGATTCTGTCTCAGAGGAGCAATGACGAGGTCGCCCGAGAGTTTGTGAAACTCAAATCAGAGTCCCGTTCCACAGAGGAGGGGAGCTGAACATCTTTGGTTCATGTGCCAACCAGTGACACTGATCGCACAAATCAGAGCTAATGCGAGTTAGCTGTGTAGCCAATTTAGGGTCTTTATAGTCAAGAGATTGACCCTTTCAGTTAAGGATATTTAAGAGAAATTTGAGGGGTAGCTGAGAGTATGGCTTTTTCCAGAAAGGGCCATGAATCCCTAACCAATAGGTCTGGGCTATAGGAGCTACCACATGGACAGAATGGACCCAAAAGGGAGAGGGACAGACATTTCAGACCAACGTTTTTTGGTAGACATACTTCCACACCCTTACCATCTCTACCCTTCTTGAGACCACACCATACCCAGTTAGACACACACCAATCACTAGGAAAACAAGTGTAGAAAGCCTGGAGTTTGTACCTGGCTGGCTAGATAGTTGGTTGAGCCTATGGGTATTGCTGAACCTTGTGGTCTGCGTTAGAGAGTAGCCAGGGCAGAACCACATAGAATAGAATTATTCACTGTCCCTTGAGCAGAATCCACTGGTTTTCTGTGGCTCCAGTGAGAACAAGTCTTTGAAACTGAACAAGCTACCTTCTAAAATTGAGCTGTGCTAATCCCTTCCCTCAGGTTATATCTGTCATGGGTAAAACCAGTTTCATGTGGTGCTTCAGAGCTCTGAGCAGAATATTTCTTTGGAACCCAGATATGAAGGCCACCTGCCTAGAATCTCCCTACTTCATTCCTGTAGGCAGGGGACTAATGCTTAGGACATTAAAGGTTGTTCTTACATGTATAGACCTGAGGGCTAGATGAAAGATCCAGGAGTATTTTCCTGGGCAGCCCCTGATCAAAGCCAGAAATTATGGAATCAGTCTAGAGTCATGCTCACCTATGGCTGCTACCTTCTGGCTGTCTTTGTGGAAAGAATCTAGCCTTTGTACTTTCTTCCTGTCATCTGGATCAGCTGCTGTTCCCTTCATAGATATTGAACCCTACAGAAGGAGCTTGGACTCTGATCCCTGTACAAGCTGGATGGAAGGGGTGGGGCTCAATACTTCCTGAGAGATCATTGACCAACTGGACCTCTCAGACCCTTGCTCAGAGTTGTGACTTGATCCTTGGATTTCCTTGATGAAAGCCTCCTAAACTTCCTGAAGATGTGGCATCGTTCACAGCTGTACTGGCCAATATATGAAACAAGAACCAAGTATCTGTGCTGTTTTTAATTATTGTATGTGCCATTGTAACAAGAGATTGTAGGCTAGTCTGTAATAAATTATCTTCTAGCAGTCTTTGGGGTCTGATAATTCTGTGCAAGTATGGGAGGCCATAGAAATGACTGTCCTATATAATGGTAGCCTTTGGCCCAGTGGCCCTTGGCTGCTTCACACTCCCCTCTCTCCCTCTCCCCACTTCCTACCAGCCAAGTGATAGAGCCTAAAGTCATTCTGAATGGGCACCAGGCAGAACAACTGCATCTTGGTCTTGACCTGAAACCACCAATCTGATTAACAGAGACATGGGATCCAGAGTATCAGTTTACTGTAAAAGGTCCAGAAGGATAGATGATATGTGCTAGTGAAAAATAGTCCATGCTTCCTCTTTTCTTTGTCTAGGGTTGCTAGGACAAACCACAGCCTGAGCTGTGATACAAGGCAGGGACCTGCTTGGGAGACATCCCTTCATGGGTTGGTAGAGGGCTGGGGCTGCCATAGACAGGACAGAGGGTTCTGCCTAGGAGCACACACTGGCATTGTATTCAAGGGAAAAGAGCTGCAGCAGAAAAACTCCCAAAGGAAAGGAAATAAGATAAAAGTGAAGTTCCAGGCATGGGAGTTGGAAAAACTGAAGCAAGAAAGATCTAACCACTCTCACTCAGCCTGCAAGTAGTGCTATTTCCATTTGCCTGCTAATTAGATCCTCACAGTTCAGTTGCCAAGTCATTTAAAACTTCCTCCCCCTCCTCTCTCAAAACACTTTGTCCTTTCTACATCAAAATTGCCTGTTGAATCCACTGTCTCACCTCAGTTCCCACTACTACAAGTGGTTTTCAGTCCTCCTCTTCTGGATTATTGTGATCATCTCCCTTCCCGTCGTCCCATCCACCTACCTGTGTTGTTTGCCTGCTCTCTTCAAACATTTATTGTTAACTCTCTTTCCTACTAAAGCTATTAGTGGTCACCCACAGTCTCCAGGCTTCAAGACAGCGCAGCCACTCCACACTCCATCCTGCAGCTTTCTCAAGCAGTGTCCCTGTCCTTGTTCCTCCACATGCATGTGCACCAGTACCCTTTAGTAACCTGGCGCATTCTGGTCCCCTGCTGGAGTGTTTAGCAGCCCTTTCCATTTCCTAACCTCTGACATCTCCCAAAAGACTTTGGGACCCAACCAACTCCCCCACAGCACTCTACACTGTTATACAGTACCTGTCTGCTTACCCAAAGGCGGGGTCTGAGTGTTTCGTCTCAGTCCCCCTCAGGTAATCCAAAGCCAAGCAGAGCGCAGCCTGGTCCAAGAGTGGTTGGGGCCTGGTGAAAGGAGAGGGGCTGGAGGTGGGCTCATGGGCAAGGGGCGTGGTCGGGGCGGGGTTCTGCTCTGGATCTGTGGCATCTGCGCAGAAAGATGCGTTAAGATGGAGGTTGGTAGAGACTATGGCTGTGTGTTGACGGTAAGCAAGAAGTGTCCAAAGGGAGCGCCCGAGGAGAAATTATTGCCTCTCCCTCCTAACAGCCTTTATAGACAGTACTTGGTATTCGTACCTCTCAGTACTTCTTGGTAGCTGTCCATCCCTTTACTTTCTTGAGAGCTCTTTTCCCAATACTCCCCGAGGTTATTACCCGCTCCTCGTGTTCCTCGAGTACACGGGTTTCCCAGACACTCCCAAAGAAGGTATTTGTTCAGATACCTAGCAAAGGGGTTCTTTAGATCCTAAATAACTCCCAAAGGGCACACGTTTGTCCAGTTACTACATGAAACACCCCCAAATCCCAAACTATAGCACATTCCTGTTAACTCGGGCAGTTTGTTCACTTTTCTAGCACTGTCCAGATTCAGAAGGCAAATGTTGTCCCACATTCGACTTGGAAATGGCATATTTGCTATAATTCCCTCTCAAGCAGTAGGATACCTGTCCGGATAGGGAGAAGTAAAATTCTTGGCCGGCTGTCCATGGTTTCCAACATGGCTGCAGTTATGAATTAGCAGCTATTCTTTTAAAAAGAAGAAAAACTAGATTTCACATTTTTAAAATGCAGGTTTCCAACTTTTTTTTTTAGTTGAATATCTATTAGCTTACAGTCCCACAAAGAGCTAGATATAGTGGCCCAGTCAGTGTTAAAGGGACTAATAAATAGTGGATCATAAGAGCTACCAACAATGTTGAGTCAGTAGCACTCCTATACCTGAAAGGGAAGGGAGAGGGCTGTTAGCAAAATCCAGCTACAACTCTGGAAGAGACTGCCTCACCAGAGGTATGGCCATAAAATGCTATGCAGCCACTGAAAGAACTTGGACAAGGCAGAGGAATAAATGCCCTAACCCTTCTCCTCATGCACTCCAGTTTCTAGCTAGTACCTTCCACCAACAAAACCCAAACAGCCTTCTAAGGACAAGAGAGTCTGAGTGATGTAGTGTGTAGAAGTCAGCTTCCCAGAACAGGGCAAAGAGAGTTAGGGAATGGGAAAAAGACAGAACAGCAAACAGGATAAAAGAACATACATGTAAAAGTCACCACTATGAATGCTTTCCAAGAAGTTTTCCCTCTCTTCAAATTCAAAATCTACTGTAAGACCATTTCCTTTTCTGTGTCTTTGTCCCAGGTGAGTGTGAGGACTCTGATACAGCACTCAAAAGTGCCTAGCATGGGGCCTGATACACCCTGGAAGCCCAATATATATTACTTCTTTCTTACATGCACAATGGTTCATGGACCAAAATACCTTTTCCAGTCAGGGTCTCAAAGAGTGGCTGGAAGTGAGTGAATGAAGGGGAAAATAATTGATAAAATAGGTCTGGCAGCCCATTGTAGTGACTAATTTTTAACAGGAGTAAGATAAGTCATTGGAAAGTTCTGCAGTGTAATTTCTAACATCAGGGCTCCTATCATTCATTAGGGAATCACCTATTCATTTAAAAATATTTGAAATATACTATATGCTAGGCATTGTTTTAGACACTGGAGATATGTTGATATATGTATTTTCCTAACCTCAAGGTAGGTGTGGCCTGATGAAGGAAAAAGACATTTTTAGTTAAGATATAAATGTCAAGATATAGAGCTCCCGGTAAGCACACCTGACCCATCTTGGGGACATTAGAGGTTTCCTAAGGGGGGGGACCATTGATGTGAGCTGGATCTTAATAAAACTTAGCCAGGTCTAAACAGATAGAAATGGAGTTCTGGGCATTTGAAGTAGTATGTATATTTAGAGTAAAAAGGAACTTGATGGTGTGCTGGAAATTGCAAGTAGTTTGTATCACTGGAGAGTTGGTTTGGGGCAGGAAAATGCTGAGAGAGATAAGACTAGAAAAATAACCAGGTACCAGGTCATTATGGGGAATTTAGACTTTATCTTGAAGACGGGGGTAGGTTTTTAAGCAAAAAAGAGTAACCAAAGATAGCATTTTGGAGGCTGGATGTGTATTCAATAATGAAGCATTTGCGTAGCATGTATGAGGTATTGGGTTGGATCCCTAGCATTGTCAACCCCCTGCCCCCAAAAAAGCATTTTGAAAGATCACTCTGGGTAGATAATGATTGTCAAGTGGAATTGGTAATGCAGAGTGAGCATGCACAAGACTGGAAACTAGGAGTTTCACTAACAATGGTGGCCACTGTAGAAGCTGTGGGAATAGAGAAGTGAATGATTATTTCACCTCAACTCTTTATTAATGAAGGAGAATGTACAGAACTTCGTGGTTAATTACAAAATGGGGAGAAGAAAAAAGCATTGTCAAAGATGAATCTCAGTTTTCTGGCTTAGGCAAATAGGGAAATGGTAACACGTAACTGTTGTCCAAAGACAGGAAGTGTAAGAAATCACAAACTTGGGATATGTGAGAAGTGGGGAATAGAAATGATGATTAGTTTTGAACACATACATTTCTTTATTGTGGTAAATACACATTACATACAGTTTTCCCTTTGTTTTTTTTTTTTTTTTTTTTTTGCAGCGGGGCAGAGTACTGGGGATTGAAGCCAGGGCCTTCCCACTGAGCTATATCCCTAGCCTTTTAAAATTAATTGTTTTCAGCATTGGGGATTTAACCCAAAGCCTTTTACACTGAACTACATCTCCAGCCATTTTTTATTTTATATTTTGAAACAAGATCTCACTAAGTTTTGAAATTGCTTAAACTGGGCTTGAACTTGCTATCCTCCTGCTTCAGCCTCCCAGATTGCTAGGATTACAGGTGTACATCATTATGCTCAGCTAAATTTTCTGTTTTAACCATTTGGAAGTGTACAATTCAGTGACAGTAAGTACATTCACACTGTTGCACAACCATCACCATTATGTAGTTGCAGAACTTTTCATTACCCCAAAAGGACTGAAGGACCTTCACCCTTTAGACTGAAGATACAGATTCCTGAGTCATTAGCATATAGATAGAGACTTCTTAATCTGAGGCTCGTAAACTTGAGAGAGGGTTTCTAAATTTTTTGAGTTTGGTGTAAAAGTATATGTGTAAGTGTGTATATATTTTTTTTCTGAAGGTTCCTTAGCATTAATCAAATTCTCAAAGGAATTTCTTAACCTGGACAAAGTTAATAACTATTGATATACATAGTAAATGAAGCTGAGGTTGGTTAAGAAAACTCAGAGAAATTAAATAGTGAGAAAAGAAGCAGGAAGATGAAATCCTAGGTAGCATTTAGGGCTTATGGTGGTCCAAAGGCTATTTCTCAAATACAAGAAACAAATTTCGTGTTTGCCTTAAGTAGGAAATTAGGCTGTACCTCACTGTTGCCTCTGCCAGATGTTCAAACATGTATTTGACAAAATCAGTGGTTCGTGTACTAAGACTGTCTCCTTAGGTTACCACCCTTTTAACTTTTTCGTGGTGTAGTTTTATTTGTGGCTGTTTGGATGGTGGAGAGCACATCATTTAGGAAATTAATAATAAATTATCATAATTTGCAATATGAATGTGTGTGTGCATTCCTTGTGATATATTGTGCTAAACCAGTGGTTCTCCAAATTATGGGAGAACCACACCCAGAATGACCTTGTCTTTATCTACTTCAATTTGAACTACAGATCTCTATGCTCTTGACTCACTGAACCACTTT